AAAGGCAACAACAAGGGCCGAAAACGAAGAAAAGCAAATAATGCTGAAATGGGTCAGCGATTTTCGGGGGCGACATTGTGACGATAGGAAGGAAGCCCTTCGCACGTGCTGCTCACCTTTGATAAGTGGAAACCAGTGGGAGGATTAAGGGGGGAGGGGGAATTGGTCAGGTGCCACGTCTGCAGGAAATGCCTTACTCAATTGAGGTAATCAAGTACTCGTATTACTTAAATTGTGATTAAAACTATTTTCTGTGATAGCTGTTTGCCAAATTGATTGGCTATTTAATGCTGTGATTACACTTTTCCAAGGGAATAGCTTATAGAAAAGGGAATGGATTTAACTTGAATTGGAACTTTAGAGAAGCACAGCATTAAGTTTTATTTGTTTTCTTTATAACTACTTTTTTTTAATTGATTTAATTATTATTTTTTAATAAAAACTTGAATAAATTACATTTTTCCATAAATCAAAATACAAAAAATGTTAATTTATTCTTTATTTAAATAATAGATTTTGGTATCTTACTTTTACCATTTCTGCATTTTTTAGTTGTTCCGCTTGGGATTTTCATCTATTGATTTTCGAAGCTCGCGTGATTTTCCTACAGCCACTAAAATTATTAGTTGGCAGTAGCGAAATTATTGACAATTATTGGCTTGGCTGCTTGGCTACGCTTCCGCCTTTTCCCCCTTTTTTTTGTATACCATCTTTCCCATTTTTTTTTGTGTTTTGCACCCAGACCGTAAAACCATAAAAAATTTAAATGAGCTAAGCCCGCAACGAGCCCGATTTAATGAGCCATTTCAATGCCGCGGAGCCTCTGGAATTGTTTCTCGTACCAAAATGGCAGGGAGTATCAACATTTTTTATGCATTTATCCGAACATTTGTTTTTAATAATGCTGTAAAATAAACAAGGCGAAAATAAGAGCTTTCCTTTGAATAAAGATTTATTTACGCTTAATAATTTAAATTGACGCCAATTAAATGTCGAAATCTTTAATTTTTTCCACCATAATTAATTAGTGACCACACAGAAATGGCACAAACCTCACACAACCTTTTTTGCCATTTAAAGCTGCCATAAATCAGTCAGCAAGACAAAGTGCTAAGCGAATAATTAAAATGCTGATTAACTCCAATTGCAATGCATTTAATGACCTCAAAATCTGTTTCTGTCCACTAGAAATTAATCTTTTCTTCTGACATCGTGTTGCAAAAGTCAAAACAAAGTTCACCGTTGTTCAATTGTTTTCCCAAAAGCCTGAAACAGCCGAAAAAATTCCAGCCCAGGGGTCGTGTTGCCAATTATTTTAATGCACATTAATTGAAGTCGTTGCACTAACGATAATTTGAATTTCGTATGTAGTATTTTGCGAGGAGCGAAAAACGAGTGCCGGTGCTTTTTGCGGAGCGTGTGGACGACGTTCATTGCCAAGGGCACAAAACTTATGCCGGTAACTGTGACGAAAACAGCCGGCGACGGTCAGTGAGGCTATAAAAAAATACAACAAAATATTGAGCCACCACGAGACTCACAGCTCCGAAAAGGTGTCAACTCAGACAGCCTTCAATGGCACACAATAAAAATCTGCGGCCAAACAAAAATCCAAAGAATCGACCGAAAAGGCAAAAAGCATGCGGAAGAAACAGGAAAATCAAGAAACTTCAGTAACCGCGAATTATTGCTGCTCTTCTAAGTTTTTAAACCGAAGATTTAATTTTTCTTCATTTTTTTTGGGCAAAATAATAATAATATTTGTTTTTCTAATGCTCAAACCAACCATTCAAAACCAAACATATTATACATAGAAATACAAAAAAGAAAGCAAAGTTTAAATATGAATTTAATGGAACATTAAGGATGGATAAATTTAAATATAAAATGTAAGCTGTCTAACTAATATGAATTTAATTATTTTAAACGTTTTAATAATTGCAAATCTATTATTAAAACGCTATTGTTTTGTTTACTGATTCTAATCAGTTGAATGACCATCAAAACAGCGAATTCAGTTACCAAATTTTTTATGTTTGGCCAAAAGGCAACGACCAAGTCAACGAATTCCAAATGCTGAATAAATAAGGCATAAATATAAATCCAAATCCAGCAAAAGAGGTAGCACAAAAATAAAACAATAATCATAGTTAAGGCAGTCGTGTGTTGAGCGCCAATAGAAATGCGAAACAATTAGGCGAAATGTAGTCAAACACAAAAGCCAGCAAACAAAACACTCGTAAAATGCAGCAACAAAAGAAAACTATAAAAATAAAGAACAACCAAACAACCGAAAGTAAATAAAAACACGCATAACGATTTTTTGATAAGAGGGCGGAAAGTGCGGGTCGGGACTATAAAGATGAAACAGAATTTGTATTTCCACAAACTTAAATAAATATTTAATTGATTAAAGTACTCATCTATTTGATAGTAACTCTGGTTTTTTTACTTTGGAATTTAATTTAATAAAACAAATTATTGCAAGATAAAATAAATATAAATAACAAAACCTATAAAGTCATTACAAATAGTTTTACAATTTTTGCACACCTTTAAAGACAATAATAATGATGATGTTTCAACACATCAGGCGCCCACTTTCTTATCAGCTGAGTATGTTCTTTACTTATCGGGGCCCTAAAGCAAACACTCTTCAAAAACGAGCGTTAAACAAGACAAATTATTACAGATGCCCAGACAATGGAGACGCGATAAAGGTCACATATTTCATTTAATTTAATTTAACTTATTTGTTAAATTAATTTCGAACTATTTTTGCCATATTTTACTTATCTAATTTAAGTGACAAACATTAAAAATGTATTCCATCAAATTATTGTAAAGAATAAATAAAATAACCAGACTTATAATTTAGGAATTTAAAAAAACAATTCATATTAAATCTTGAAAATTATAATACATTTTTTTATTTTAAACTACATAAGTTAAGATTAATTTTATATTTTATTAGAGCTCGAAAAAATCTCCATTTCCATAAATTTAAATTAGTTAACCTTCCATTTCTCCCTGTCTCTCTCACTCTCACTCTTACTCTCTCTTGTTCTCAAACAAAATGGAATCAAGTTCAAGGCCACCATCGATCTTATTGCTATCCCTTTCGCACTCGTGTGACTCACCTGCTGCTGATTGAAATTAAGCTGCGCTGCTGATCCTCTGCCGGCGTTGCGTCGACGACGACGTCGGCAGTGGCAGTGGCAGAGGCAGCGACCTCTGACGTCACTGGGCGGTAGATCAAAGGTTTCACGTTGCGTTCGAAATCGTCGAGGAAAACGACATCGTGAACGGGAATCAATCGATGATCGCTGACGTTGAAGTGCAGATCGCGAAAGGGACCGTTGAGGAGACAGCGCAGCGGTGACGTCACGAGCACAGCATCCTCCGGATCTAACTGTAAAGATATATCAAATATTCATAAGATAATCTATTACACAGATGTTAATCTGGCATAAATAACTCATAAAACTATGTATACTTTATAAAATAAAAATATTCAACAAAATTTATTTGTTTCTTTTAAGAAACAAAGTATAAACCCAAATAAAATATTTATTTAATTTATGTTTGGTAATAACCTTATAAAGATAAATACACCGCAACAAATCGCATGCAAACAACAGATAAGATTCTGATAATTATCACATAATATTTAAGCCAGGTCATGTTAAATACCCTATTTGTTTGTACTATCATCGTTTAACAATTTTTTTTGATTTTGTACACTATATTTACAGGACCTAGAATATAAATTGTTATTACAGTGAAAATAGAGGAACTGCCATACAATGCATTTGTTTACTGATTTTAAAAAATATTTAAATGACGCTAATGATAAAACCACAATAGAACTTTGCTTATTTGTGGTTTTGAGATGTTTAAAAACAGAATATGAGCAAGTAAATGAGCAAAAAACTAATTAAAAAATAAAACGACTCATTTAAAAGTATCTTATATTAGCATTTTAAAAACCTTTTGGATTTCCTGGACCTACAAACCGTATGAAATCAAGATTATACCCCATTTGAGAGTAGAAAACTTTAAGATGCACGTTTTTACCTTGATTTTGCCATTGGCCGCTGAGAACATTGAGATTTCGAGATTTCAAAGATAAAAGATGAGCAACAAATCAAATAAGAATGCACAAGAAACACAGATACAACACCTACACATGAGTGAAGGTGTGTGTGAGTGTGTTGTATGTAGAACGAAGAAGAAGAAGACGCCAATTGGACACGCGTGCGTCGCGTTGGTTGGATTTTGGCTGCTACTTTTACTGCTTTTCTTGTTGGATTTTCTTTATAACTTTATTAACTTTGTTAATAACTTTTCATTTATTTTATTTTTCTCTGTTTCATTTAAGCCCCTCTTTCGACTGCTCTATTCATTATCGAATTTTTTTACATATTTATTTCTCCACTCATTTTATTATTTATTTTCTCTTTATTTTCTTTCAATTAAGACGCACAGCGAAACACCGAAAAAAAAGACGAAAAAAAACCCGAACAACACTTGCACAATTGAAAATAACAACAAATTAATAGGAACGCGAGAAATACGGGCTGCTGCGGCTGCGCCTTCACTTTTCACTAAAACAAAAAGCACGTAAATAAAATTCAGACGAGATTTTTTTGTTGTTGATTTCTTTGCCGATCGCTCTGCCGCCCGCGACTGCGCTGCCCGCGTCGCCGCGCTCTTCCAATTGGTCCAATTGGGATCAAACAGCTGGTGGCCAGTTGGATCGCCGTTTGGCGCCATCTGGCAGCGCTGGCCCGGCAACGAGGTAGCCAGACCGTGCGCGCTAGCGATGGGCGATAGGTGTGCGTGATTCACGAGCTCGGGATTTTGTTCCGATTTTTTCGCCGGCAGCGAAAAAGCACGAAAATTGTATCGAAAAAATACCGAAAAAATACTCCTTTGGCACAATTAATCGCAATAATTCGATTAACTAGTCACGAGTCCTTCTCTAGCCGCACTCCCGCTTCACAACACTGCCCGCCGCCTGTGCTTTCCAACACTAGAACTGGCAAAAAATAAAAATCCAAGCGTTGAATTTACCGAATCGTCGTCTCGAATCGCCATAATTCTATAGCTTTTATTCTGAATTCCGATCGGGTGAGTGTACGACTAGGCGAAAGCCTCAAACTTTGCGTAAAAGTCGAGTTAAAACGGGGAAAAGCGGCGAAAAACAATTGGGCGCATTACAGTTAGTTACACACACGCGGCGGCGACTGTCCGTGTGTTTGTGTGCGTCTGAATGTTTGTGTTTCACTAAAGCGGCAAAAACAAGCCGGAAAATGTGGAAAAACCTGCATTTTCCGGCCAATCAATTGTTTTCCTGGCTTAAGCTAGTGCACTTGCCCATTTCGAGGGAGAATTTTCGCATTTGTCGGCAGCAAATTGGAAAATAAAAGAGCAATTGGCCCGCACATGTATGCGAGTGTATTGGTGCTTGCCGCGAGTGCGAGCGAGAAAGAAACATATACTTCTTCCTCTTTTTTTTTAGTTTTATGATTTTTTTTTCAATTTCTAACAAATTTCTTTCGTTTTTTGCAGAATCGGCGAAAAGCAAGGACTGAAAGTCTCGGAATTCATACGACTTGGAAAAAAACCACTGAAAACAAAGTATGCGACTGCATTTTTTAAATTATTTATGACTTAACTTACTTTTAAGATAAATGTAACTAATTTTAAGGTTTTTTGAGTTTAAAGAGTTTCAGTTATCATAGATTTACCTAGGAAATATTTTTAAAAAAACTTTTATTAGGCGGTGATATTTCAAATTTTATATAGTCTATTGTTAGATTTCGGAACCGAATTGGTAATACAATTTTCATAATTGTACTTTTATTTATCAGAACTTTTAAACTCCTAAAAACCAAAAAGTTTTTACCTAAGCTGTGGGATAAATGAAGTCATCCTGCTTCCACAAAAAAAAATATGATGATAAGAAAAACGATGACGAAGTTTTCATTTCAATAGCTCTCAACCTTAGCGAGAAAATCATTCAGAGAAAATTTATTAAACTAAAATTTATATTCACTGTATCAATTCCATATTATATGTTTATATTTTAAGATAATTTTTTATAAATATTTTTTTTTTAATATATGGTCTTTAGTAAAATCTAATTAATCCACATGTCACCGTAAAATCGATATGGCCATGTAAATTTCAGGTCATGCAAAACCCAGATCGTTTTTATATGAAATACCCTTTTCGACCAGGTCAAATTTACCAGGCCTCATATCAAATTAAAATTTTTTTGGCTTTCAGATCACCATGTCGCACACCATCCTACTGGTTCAGCCGGGCGCTCGTCCAGAGACCCGCACCTACTGCGACTACGAGAGCGTGAACGAGTGCATGGAGGGCGTGTGCAAGATCTACGAGGAGCACCTGAAGCGGCGCAACCCGAACACCCCGACCATCACCTACGACATCAGCCAGCTGTTCGACTTCATCGACACGCTGATGGACATCAGCTGCATGGTGTACCAGAAGAGCACCAACACCTATGCCCCCTACAACAAGGACTGGATCAAGGAGAAGATCTATGTGCTGCTGCGCCAGGCGGCCTTCAGCCCGAATGCCTAACTAAAGATCAAAATACCAAATAACCCGATCATAAACTAAGGAGATGCGTGAACTCACGAGGACAACATGATTTTAGGGAGGGAATCGACGCTGCTGCCGCCTGCTAACTACACATTAATACGATCACAACAACCAAGGACGGCAGACAAACAATGCAAACACAAAGAGAACGAGAAACTGTTTAACTTAGAAATGGAAAACTTACTTTACACGTACTAATATAATGTATATACACCCAACTCTGACAACTGTGTGTTTTGAATGAGCCATGTTCGCAGGATAAGGTGTTCTTATAGCTAGCAATCTGTTGTATAAATACTCTAAATGGCAAGCGTTTTTTTTTGTGTATGTTCCCTTTGCGCTAGTTTTAGTCTACCAGTATGTCAAATAATAAATCAACGTGACTTGTCTGGTCAGGATATTAAATATATGATTACTAGCCTGGCTTTATAGTTGTAATGTTCGAAACTACCGACATTTCCCTGTAAAAGTCAATAAGACTTAACTAACCGCCACTCAATTCGATTGAAGTTAAACAAAAGCTGAGAGGTTTTCAAGATTTCTAGTAGTAAAACCCATATTATTCACACCTGTGGGTTTGCGGCTATTTTATGGGCAGTTTAACTAAAACAGAACCTTTGGCCACCGAGGCAACCGAATGACCTTGAGATTACTACCCAATCCCATACGATCTTGGGTTGGGTTGCGGAATCGCTTGGCTGCGCTGCATTGAACTTGGCGTGCGATATTTAATTAGCTCCGCGACAGCATTTTGTTAAATATGTGGTAGGTAGCCAGCCGTCAGAACGGCAGAACGAACGATCTGCGCCGTATCGACCTTATGGATGCTGTCTGTGGGGTTATTACAACTACAACTCGTGTTTAAGTCAAATAATTACACTCAAAAAATGATTTGCCCTGAATTTTAGATATTTGGGTCAATTAAATATATTAAACAAAATTTCTACCCCCAAAAAAAGTTTTTTTCAAATAAATCGGTTTACTAAATAATATTCTTTTTTTCTGAAATCAAAAAAAAAAATATCCACTAAAGTAAAATTCTAAAATGTAGGGGTAATAATTTTTTGGAGTCTAGTGTTCATATCATAAAATAATCCTGATGTATGGATAGTATTTTTCTACATATCACCTTTATTTTTTAACATATTGTAGATATATATTTATACCACCGATATAATAAAACTTTTATGAATCTACAGAACTCTATAATATTCTTTATAAAAAAGAAGCAAGAAGTAGGAAAAATCACCCAAAACAAATGGACATAAAAATCTAAAAAAAAAACACGAATTAGAAAATAATTTATAATAAATTGCAAATGAAATTAGAGAAAATAAGATTTTAAAAAAATAACATATTTGTAGATTGAGAATTTGTTTATTACAAAAAGTAAACCTATGTAAGTAATGCCTTAAATTCCACTAATGAAAATGAATTATTTGGCTAATTTGCTCTGCAACTCCGAACAATTTACAGGGTATGCGAAATAACTATTGCTCTGACAGAAATTGTTTATAGTTTTTATAGAATATTTTTGCAAACTGGTTTTTAGCCGCCATATGCGCTTAACCCCCTTGTGTCTTAACCCTCTCAATCGCACGCACTTTCAATGTCAGTTAGCAGCCTTTTTTGGTCAGAAAAGGCAAAGCGAGCGAGACAGACAGATGCATCGTGGGATGCTGGGGATGCACAATAGTTCACACGATTTTTCTGTGTTTTTTTTGCTTTCTTTTTTATAAAATACTATTCTTAACCGGCATTACAAATTTAGTGGGCTAAACAATAAGCGTTAACAGCTAAGTGTGGGAGGTGAATGGGGGTTGAGGGGAATATTGTGTGGACCTGGCTAATGGCGCAACTGCCTTGGCGCCTCCTTCTCCACTTCATACTCGTACTCCAGCTCCAATTTGGGTTTCGAGCGGCTGCGACGACTGGGCGCCGGTGACTTGGGCTTCTTGTCCTTCTTCGATTTGCTGGCTGGGGATTTCTTGGCTGGCACTTTGATGTCCTGTTTGCAATTTAATTTGGTTTAGTTCGGCTTACAAAATTATTTAAAATTTATTTTTGGCATTTTTGTGGAGCTAAAAACTCTACGCGCACTGAATGGAAACCGCAACTGAATGAAAAGCGGCGGCTCGCCGCTCGAAAGCTCTCACAGCAACTCAGTATTCTAAGCTCTGAGAAGTCCGAACTCGTTTGCTATTTCTAAATATGGTAATTGTGGATCTACACATCAATATTAAATAATATCAAAATCGGGAACAGAAGCTTAAAGATTTCACTATATAAATTGTGATATATTAATATAAATTTTTAAAAATTGCAAATAAAATCTGAAAAGTTCATCAGAAGGAAAAAAAATATTTAAAAAAAAACCAAATGGAGTACCCAAAATATTATTCTGATCTTGAACTTCCCGTAATACAACTTAAAACTTCAATATTACTTCTATCATCAAAAATCGGTATAAATACCCATATAAATATTATAAATCACCAAAAAGAGTATTTAAATCACTATAATAGTCTTGTGCTTCCTATAATCATATCCTAGCTATCCTTAAACATTCAATATTACTTTTATCATCTAAAAAATTGGTAAAAAATCGGAATAATTAACCATATAAATGTTAAAAACCATCAAAAAGAAGTACTTAAAATACTATAATTATCTTATATTTCCTATAATAATATCCTTGCTTCGATATTCCATCTATCACCCAACAAAAATGACAAAAATCGAGTTAGGTGACCACAAAACTCTACCTCAATGTCATCAGCATCCGGATCGTCGTCGGACTCTTCGAAATCGCTGCCCACCTCGACCTCCTCCCGCTTGCCAGAGTCGCTGTCGTAGTCGTCCTCCTCGTCGTTATCCTCATCATCTTCCTCCTCCTCATTATCTGTGTCCGCCTCCACGAACTCCTCCTCGAGCAGGTCGCGCTGCAGCTCGACAGCCTCGCGGGAATCATCGGCGTCCACCTCCATTTCGCGCTCCAGCTCCTCGTCCTCCTCGTCGTCCAGCTCCTCATCCTCCTCGTCCACACGCTCCGCCTCCAGAGCCTTGTTAAAAGCGGTCTGTGAGAAGTTGTAAATGTCGCGATAGGTGCCATGCTTCAGACGATCCATCAGCGCCTTCTCGATGTGATTGTCGATCTTGGCGGCCACCAAGGCCTTCTCCTCGCGCCGCGCCTCCCGACGCTCGATCTTCGTGGACAGCGGCACAATGAGCTTCTGGCGGCGCAGCTTCAGCTTGCGCATTCGCATCAGATACTGGGTGATCTTGAGGAAACGCTGCTTGTTCTTGGCTATCATGTATTTGGGCCAGAAGACCAGGTTCTCGTTGATCTGTTCGATGGCCTTCTCGAAGTTCCTGCTCAGCTTGATCCTTTCCCACAGCTTGCTGGGCATATGCGATCGCTCCGCCGTCTTGACGAACAAATAAATGATGCCCTTCTCCTCGCGAACGGTGGCATATTGCGAATTGGCCAGCGGGCAGGTTCGCCGCGTGCAGAGACCCGTCAAATTGTACTCATGGCGGCAGAAGGTGCGCGTGTCGGTCCTGCAGGGTTAACATATATATATTTAAATCATTATCATCCAAAAAACTGAATCCACAACTCACTTGACTTTGTGCGAACAGAAGGACTTGTTGATGATGCTCCAAACCACCTGGAAAATGCACAATGCTATGGGATTAGCGACTTGGCCGATTTATCTGGCTCAAAACTCACATCGTCGTGCTGCATGGCGGCCCTGGGTTTTTTGAATTAGCTCACTAAAACTCGCTAAATCCGAGAAAATCACCAATTTAAAATGGAACACGTGCAGCTCACAATATTATATGCTATCGATTGGCGATAGGTTTCTGCCGGGTGGCACTATCGGTTTTTTAGAGACGCTTGATATATCGCCAAGTGGCCGATACTATCGAGACTCCATATCGTTAAATTTCAAATAAATTTTGAAAATTATGATTTTTTTTGATTTTTGCGAGTAACTTAATACTAATAAATATAAATATATACAAAAATATAAATATATATAAAAAAATATAATATAAATACAAATATTATTAATATTTGAAAGAAGTAATATGAGTTATTATGCATTCATGAATTTTTAATGAATGATTTAACATGCAAATTTTTAGAAACTTAAGACTAAAATAAATTATGAGAATTTGGATGTATCTATATAGTTTTTTTAAATCAATAATGAGATTATAATAGGTTGTAAAGGTTGTATGTCACCTTTCTTTTCTCATTTTTCATTCAAAGAACAGTGAAGAATAGTTCCTTATCGCTTCTTTAGGTTTCAGATTGGAAACTAAAATAAATTATGAGAATTTGTATGGATCTATCCAGTGTTTTAAAATCAAGAATGATGTTTTTATACATCTATTTCATTCAAAGAACAGTTAAGAATAGTTCCTTATCGCTTATTTAGGTTCCAGGTTCCATAAACTCCAGCCACAAGATAACCCCTTTATGCCCTTTATCACTCATTCCCCCGTTCCAAAGCAAAGTCGTTCGTTATTTAAATCAGTTTTCTCTTTTATTTGTATACTTTGAAGGGGATCTCGCTTAAATATACACTCGACCTAAAAGCTAGTCCTCCGTTTCGGCGTAAACGGGCACGAGTACGCCCTGTTTTACAGATATATGTATAAATGAACTACGATTTACATAACTGCCGTTTAAAAAAAGGTGTTCGATTTGTTATTCTTTTGGGTTTTGGGTTTTTGGGGGGGGGCCTCTCCCCCTTAGACATTACAATTAAAATCAGGATTGATTCCTTCGCCGAACTTAGACTTTCGATTCCCTTCTCGTTCCGCGATGCTTAAATGTTTAGTATAATTAGATACATAGATACAATATCTGTATTCCTATGTCCGTCCGCTGTGTGTGTGTTACGTTATAAGATATATATATTATATATAATAATTACGCTAGACTAACTATTACAACTAAGTTAATGGTTTTACAAAAAAAAACTTGTATGGTTTTGCTACTGCATAAAACAATTTATCGAGTGTCCGTTTTTGTTGTGTGTGTGGTGTGTGTGAATTATTTTTTACAATGTGATAGGTTGCTTCTCCTTTAATCCCAATCCTCATCCTCACTTGGTGTTCACCATCTCGACGAGGGCGCTGCTGAGCGAGAGGCGATCGACAATGTCCAGCAGGATCTCCACATCCTTCACCGTATTCACCGTTTCGGGGGCTCCCATCAGATTGACATGCTTGCCATCGATGTTCGCATAGAAGCACTTGTTCTTGAAGATGATGGCCCGGTCGTAGGGCACCCGGCACTTGCTGCGATCGAGAACGGCGCGCCGGAAGAGCACGCACGACGGCTGATATTTGTGGCGATCCTCCTCGGGTATATTGTACGCCTTGAGATCGCCCGTAAAGATGGTCATCGTTTGGCGGGTCATCAGCGAGGGGGAGACCTTGTACAGGGTCACTTTGCTGGTCCATTTCCCAGAGGGCACTTTGATTCTGGCCGCCACATTGGCCAGCTTCACAAGCGCCAACTCGAGGCAAGTTCGCTGCTGCCGCGTGGTCGTCGTTGTCGCCTTCGTTGGCGATTCCCTGGGCGTGCTAATCACATGCCACGTCTCGTAGCAGGTGATCTTCTTCACCACGCGACCATCCTCCTCGCAAAAGGTGGTGGTCTCGGGCGGAAAGTATTTGGGACTGCTGGTGGTGGACACTTCTAGGGTTGCAGGCTCCTTTTGCACAACAATAGTGGGTTTTTCTTTTTCCTGCTCCTGCTGCTGTTGGTTCTCCTTGCTGCGCCGCTGTGGACTCAAGCTGGGCTTCTTGAAAACCGACGATTGCTGCTGTTGCTCCACATCGACGTCACTCAACAGCTTGCTTAGCTTCCTGTCCGCCGCCCGAGAGTTTACTGTGGCAGCGGTGGTCGTGGAGAGTACATTGCGTCGATTGGTCGCATTCCATTTGTTGGCTGGCTCCATTTGTTTGGGATTCTTTCGGCTGACAATCGTTGCCGGTATATCGTCGTCATCGAAATCCAAATCTGGATCGGGATCCAGATCATCCTCCTCGGTGTCCACGTCCGTGGGACAGAGCTCCTTGCCCATGCTCATCAGCGGCTTCATTGCCGCCGTCTTCTTGCCCATTTCCGCATTGAGTATCCTCGGCCTGGGTTTGGTTACCACTTGGTTTTGACTCTGATTTTGACTCTGATTCTGATTCTGTATATTGCTGGCCAGGATCTTGATGCGCTTGTTGGCCTGATTGTTGTTTAAGGTTGCCTTTTCCGTCGTTTTCTTCTCGCTGCTCGTGGGGATGATGTTTCTGGTACGGGGCCTGCCCACAGCAACCTTTTTGCTGGCATTGTTATTATTTCCGGATGAAGTGGAGGTGGCTGAAGCAGCGGAAGCTGCAGCTGCTGCAATAGCATTATGCGACCTGGTGATGAGCACATCGTCCTGGTTGATTATGTCATCGATGTTGACAATGGTGAATGTGGGCACATCATCCGTTTCGTTCTCCGTTTTCGCCGTTTGCTGGGTCGCCGGATTGGAGTTGCTCGTTGTCGCGGAGGAGTTCATCTTGTAGTTGTTGCTGCTGCTCCCGCGTCGCTGTGGCAGCATCCTGGCAGGGATTGCTCCCAGTTTGGCTGCTCCTCCTCCTGGTTTTGTAGTGGCGCCATTTACCACGGGCAGGTTTCTCTGGGTTGAGGAGATAACCATGCGCTTGCGGGCCACTGGACTCTCGCTTTCACTGGTGTCCAGCTTGCGTTTAGCAGAGGCTACAGTCGATCCCTCTGTCATGCTGGCATTGCTCCTGGCCAGATTAACCGCCATGGTGCGTCGCAATTGCTGCAGGCTACTCGGCGCAGTGCGTCCGCCGGCCGAATTGATGGGTAGCTTGGGCGTTGCGCCACTGTTGCTACTGGGAGTTTGATTGCTGCCCGCATTGTTAACCTTCGGCGGACGTCCACGTCCGCGCTTCACCGGCGGCTGCTTGCGACGCAGCTGCTGCTGATACTCCGCCTCGCTGAGGTCCTCCTCCTCCTCGTCCTCATCATCGTCATCCTCGTCGGACTTGTGTAGCTGCGGATTAAAGGCGGCATCCGCCAGCTCATCATCGTCATCTTCGTCCAAATCAAGGAGATCATTCATATCGTCGTCGTCGTCGTCGTTGGTGGCGAACAGCTGCTTTGCCTGCCTGCCTGCCTGGCGTCCCGGAGTGGCGCCTCCTCCTTCTCCCAAGGCTGCCATGTATTTAGGAGTAATCACATCATCGCTGGCGTACTTGGGATTCGGTTTGATGGAGCGCCTGGAGCGACTGGCAGCGATGGTGGGCGGCGGACTGACCTCCACCTCTACTCTTTTGGCCCCCGCCGCCGGCTTGTACATCTTGGGCGTCTCCTGGTGGCGACGTGGTGCTCCAGCCGACGCCTTGAGAAGCCCCATTTTGTTGTTGTGCTGCTGATTCGATCCTCCTCCTCCTCCTGGGTGACTGGGATGACTGCCCAGCAGCAGGGCTCCGCGTCGCTTGGCCAGATTGCCGGATGGCTGCTCCCCTCTGCTGATCTTTAGACGCGTCGCCGGCGGTGGCGGTGGTGGCGATGGCTTCCGGGTTCGCTTGCTGCTCTCCTGTTGAATTTGGACCACCGAGCGACGACTGGTGCGGGTCTCCCGCAGCTCCTGCTGCTCCGCCCGCTGCTGCTCCTGCCTCTTCCTCAGCTTGCCGGCTGCTCCTCCTGCTGCTCCTGCTCCTCCTCCTCGGACGGGCGACTCCGTCTCCCGCAGATTCCTCACGTAGACGATGCAAGGACGTGTCTTGACGCTTTCAGCTGCCTGCTTTCTTCCAGCTCGCATCTTTCATGGGTAGCTGCAGATTTGGATAGTTTAGTTATTGTGACCAAATAGGAAAGAGTACAGAGTACAGTGGGCTGTGTGGCAGGGTGGATGATGAATGAAAAAAACTATTTTTTAAATATAAGTTTTTAACTATAAGTTAAACAGAAAAAAAAAGGTTTTCTGTACTATTTCTTGGGTAATTTATGCCTGCAATTTGTAACCCACTTATTTTTAATTAACTTTTACTATATAATATTTTGAATGAAAAAAACTTTTTTTTTGTAAGTTTTGTAAATGGTAAACAAATTTTTCTGTACTATTTCTTTGGGTAATTTATTCTTGCAATTTGTAACCCACTTATTTTTAATTTTTTGAATAAAATTAAAAAACGAAAAACGCTTCTGTACTATTTTCTTTGGTACTTTTTTCCCTTCCAATTTGTATCCCCTCAAATATCGAACTATTGGAAAATCCCGCCTTTCGCATCCCAACACATTTCGCATAGGCAGGGCGCACTGTTCTCAATGGACACACACACACATCTAGTCACACATACATGGGCAACGTGCCGCTGCTCTGGCAACTCTGGCGCCTATTTTCGTCACTTTTTCGCGCGCCAGTCGCCGCACATACACACACGCACACACTCACGCACATATACGCGCGTATATGGGGGCCAAATGGAAATGCAGGGCAAATTGTTGTTTAAACCTGGGCAGCTTACCTTTGATTCGCCAAACCGCTTTACATTTTCTCGGGCGTTTAGTCCAGCCTTTAAACCGACTTCTTTTCGCTGGCACTTTCACAACGCGGCGCTCTCTCTTTCAGTTTTTCTTTCTATCGCTCGCTGCTCTCCGTCGCCGCCGCTGCTGCTGGCTTTATTTTCCTTTCAAATGCAAATGCAGTTGCAGAATGCAAGAATAATCTCGCCAGGATGCACACAACAACAACAACCGAACCGAACTGAGCGAAAGTGGTGGCAATAGTGGCAAAAAAAAAAACGAACAAAAAAAAATAGAGTGACCGAGACCAGGTGGCAACCCAACGATGTTTTTCTACCCAACTGTACCACACACACACATGCACGGGGCGGCCGTTCGTTTCGTTTTGTGTGTTGTTGCGTTTTTCGGGCCTGCTCCCCTCGAATTCCACTCACTGTCCGCTTTTAGTCGATTGTTTTAGCTCTCGTAGTTGCTGTTATTAGTGCACACCGTATAGTACTTGCTGGCTAACGCGATTAACACCAATCCGCTTCCCGCGCTCGAAATCGCTCGCTCTCGTCTAGAAACTGGAACTGAAAGAGGGGAGAGGGGTTTGACTATCGGTGTTGTGCAGCGTCGCTGGGCCAGTGTTGCAAAGTGCAACTCGGCTGACTAGCTGGCAACGCTGAATGTGACCCCCACCCCCTGAGAATCGAAAATCGAAATCGATGATTTCTGAACTCCTTTTTACTATTTATTTAACATTAACAATTTGTTTCCAATTGGCTGGGGTGTCTACTTCAAGGCCGAGGGCTGCGGGCAGCGGTACTTGGCCATCTCCACCTCCGCCTCGGCGTAGCTGAAGCGGTTGAAGCAGTAGTACTCGGGCACCTTGTAGCCCGAAGTGGCGGATGCGCCGGGTCCCACGGGCTCGCTGGTGGGCCTTACGCAGTTGCTGGTCAGTCCCACGACGGCTGGCGAGGATGGGCCGCCTCCTGCGGATGCGGCTCCCGTTCCTGGGGCCTTCGATCCGGGGGCACTGGCACTGGGTCCGCCCTTGATCTGGCTGTAGCAGCGGCTCAGGGCCGGGCGCAGGGCACGCGTGGGCGAGAACATGACTAGTCTAGCTTTTAATTTGCAAAAATAATTCACGTAATCAGGTATCAACAATGGACCTGTGTTGGGCAACGTCAAAAGTCGGGCAATCGACGAGGCATCTGGCAAGGCCGTGATCGGCGGGGGGCTGCCACCTTGTTAGATTGTAAGGCTAATTATTTTTAATAATAAAAGGGAATTTCTTTAAAATAATAGAATGTAGCGTTCTAGAATCCCTTTTTATAGCTATTAATCACCGCTTAACACATAATGTCTGTTAATAGGCAAACCCAACCATTAAAAGCGTTGCCAGACTGGCGCAAAAATTAAACTAAATTAGGTTTATTTATTTTACAGGGTTTAGATTATCCTACTTTCTCGCCTTGAACTTGGGCTGCGCCTTGCCGTAGTGCTGATCGATCTGGGAAACGGGCGCCCGCTTCTTGGCCATCCGATCCTTTTGCGATTTGCTGCGGCATTTAACGCTGGCGGCGCCCGTTTGATTTTTGCCCAACTGATGGAACTTCTTGCGCTCCTCGCGTATATTCTTCAGCCGCTGGCGCTCGTCCTTCAAATCCTTGTAGTTCTTGGCCTGCTTGCGCAGCGGCTTGGCGCCCAGTTTAACCAGCTGGAACATTTCCATTTTGCTCTTGTTCTTGATCACCCGCTGGTTTTTCATCGCGAAATTCAGCACCTCGTGGCGGGCCTTCTTTATATCGAACTCTGGGTTCAGTTCGTTGCCGGCCTCTTTGATCTTGTGGGGCTTCTTTTCTTCTGATCCTGCGCCTTCTTCCCTTCTTTTGGAGGCACTTTTCGGTGGAGCCCGAGGCTCCTGGAAGACGAGCGCCTGAAATCCACCGTTCTCCTGCTGCTTCTTCTGCATCGCCAGGGCCGCTCGCGTGGGCACCGGCTGGAAATCGTCGCTGACGTTCATTTTTCAGTTAATAATTGGCTTGGTTTTCCAGTTTTCAGCAAATAAATAAAGTAAATAAACCGGGAATCAAAATATTGTGGCACATGTACAGTGCGGAAATGTACTAAATTTCCCCTAATGCCTGTGCAAGTCTGGCAACGCTGGCTGGTGTGCGTGTTTTGCAAGGTGACGCTGTCTTTATGACGTCACAATTTTTAAAATAATATGCTTTTTAAAATGCATTGTTAATAATCTCTTAACTTTTTAATTTTTTAAACGGTCTTTTTGAACAAATTCATATTTTATAAGGTAATATCGTCACGATTTTTAAAATAATATATTTCCTTTTAATGATCTTTTATCTTACTATTTATAGGTTTTTTTTAAATTTTTGTTGCAATTTTCAAATAATTTATTTAGTTATTTTAAATTAAGTATTATTGATCTTATAGGTTATTTTAAACAAAGTTATAATTTAAAACGGAATACGGTTGAAAATTATCATATTGTTGGCTGTCCTTAAATTATAAGTATTTAAGCTTTAAATTTGCCAACTGGTAATTACATTTTTTGTTTTTTCCAAGTTTTTAGCCCTAAAAATAATAATAATAATTACTAGAATAAGGTTACTTCAAATATAAAAAATAATAAAGAAATATGACGTAATCCATTTTATTAGGACTCTCTAAATGATCTTCAATAGATTTCCATTTTAGGAAGCGATTAAAAACCTGATATTTTATTTTATTTTTTGGTGACCTCTGGTTCCGAGTCCGCTGACCAATATTCCTCCGGCAGCCATACCATCTCCCAGCCCATGGGATCCTCATCCTTGTCGATGGATAGATCATCTTGGTTATTGAAGGGTTTGGCATTGAAGGGACCTGTCCAACTTTGAACTCGACTAACTGGCGGTGGAACGGGCCACATTCCCCCGCATTCCTCCTTATCCTGATCCTCCAGTGGTTTTGTCTCGAGATCGCTTATTAATTCCGGAATGCTCTTCTCCTTCTCATCGAGGGACGAGGAGGAGTCCGCCGCCACATCAACTATGTAGCTGATGGGATCCAGCTGAAAATTATGGCATTTCCGGGGGGATCGCTGCACTTGGGAATTTTTCTTCATCCTGCATCCGTTCATGATGGTCTTTAGGGAAATCCTGGGCTGCGGAGGACGGCTGACCGCCAGCTTTTTGGCTAGCGGCGTGGTTAGGCGACCATCCACGTAGTCATTGCGCGGCTTGGCGAAGATTCCCGCCAAATATTTAAACATTTTTGGCTTACTAACAATTTAAATCGATGTTTTTCACTTGTGCGTGTGACTTGTGACTCAAAGGTGACTTAAAAGTGCACTTTTAAAGTCTCTAACTAGTCTTCAAATTGGTTTTCCTGCTAAATATTGCGTATTATATATGGGTGTATTTTTTATATATTTTAAAATACCCATAATTGAGCGCATAAATTAAAAATGTCTTATTTGATATAATACCATCTAATATTTATTATATTTTATAACCGCTCTTGAATGAAATTGGTTAATCAAAAATAATGCAACCAAAAATTGGTTCTAAGCCCCTACAACCAAAAAAATTAATAATTAATGAATAAAAATGTAATATTTTAAATTTGTAAATGGCTTTGTCGAGAAAAGCACATTTATTTGCAGCCCTATTTATGCGACCCGACGTCTGCCGGGTATTCAAAAAGTTTGCAACCAAAAGCCCCCTACAACCAAATTCTGGTTACGCCACTGTATGGAACACCCCTTATGAATAAGCAAGGACCTGAACCAGCAAGGACACGCACCGCGTTCTACAGACTCCCCCCGTCTGGCAACCCCGCGCAGATCGAATAAAAAAAAACAATGTGCTGGCAGGAAAACAGCAGAAAAAGCGGAAAATTCAGCAGGAAAAGTTAAAGGAAAACCCGGTAAAATGGCGAGGAACACGGGCAGTTCCTCGGGCTCCACGCCGGCGGCCTCGGCGGCCTCAGCGGCGGCGGCAGCAGCAGTGGCGGCGGCTTCCAAACAGAAGCAACAACAACAGCAGAGGAGCAGCAGTTTATCCTCGAATTTAATCCTGGACAAGTGGAAAACGATGATTGGGTGCGTCTGCCTGGCGATAGCCTCCTACTTTGGCTACCTGGGCTACCTGGAGACGCGCGTCAATACGCCGTTTGACCACCAGAAGATGGTAATCCATGCGGGACTGGAGCAACCCGATCGCTACTGGGGATCCTACAGGCCACTCAACTATTTTGGCATGAAAACCCGCGATCCACATAGCCTGGTGATGGGCCTAATGTGGTATACACCTAGTAATCTGGGTCCCGGTGGCCAGGGAATACGCCACTGGTGCGAGCAGGGCGACAAGCTGGATTCCTACGGCTGGACGCATCACGACGGGCGCTCCTTTGGCCAGCAGGAGATTCAGGATCTGCCCTTTGAGCTGCGCACCTCCTTTGTCAAATATCCCGAGGGCAAGCAGTATGGCGGAGACTGGACGGCGCGCATCTCCGTGAGAAATACCACACGCGCCTGGGACAAGAGCATCTCGCTCATTTGGTATGTCGCCTTGGATGAGCGCACCAATGGTCATATCAAGTATGTTTCGGATGAGAAGAGTCCCGAACCGGGCGTCTATGGCGAGACGCAGGGCTTAGGAGAGTTCCAGGTGCGTTTCCATGCTGTAAAAGGCAAGATCCTGCACAAATCCTACCTCAGCACGGTGGCTCCATCGCTGGGAAAGCTCAAGGATACGCTATTCTCGCATTTTCGCGCCTTTGCTGACAAAAGAGGCAATCGATTTATTGGTTTGCCCGGGGAAATAGTCTCGCAGAATGGTTTGCCAACGAATAATCCGGAGCCCAATTTCATAGCCATACAGATAACGGCGGAGGTGGACTTTACGCTGGATATAACCTACCAATCCACGTCGGGTTTCTCGCTGGGCGAGTCCATACCCAAGCCGCCAACTGGGCGGGAGTATCAGCAGTCCCTGCAGGCCAAGATTGCCCAGTTCGAGCAGCGTTTCGAAGAGAAATTCAGGCTTAAAGAGAAAGGTCATTCGCCGGAGGAAGTGCGTTTCGCACGCAATGCCTTTAGCAATCTGCTAGGCGGCATTGGCTACTTCTACGGCTCGAGTCGCGTGCAATCGGTGCACACGAAGAACCCGGTGCCCTACTGGAAGGCACCGCTCTACACGGCCGTCCCCTCGCGCAGCTTCTTTCCGCGCGGCTTCCTCTGGGACGAGGGCTTCCATGGTTTGCTGATCAGCGCCTGGGATGTGGACATCGAGCTGGATATCCTCTGTCATTGGTTCGATCTGCTGAATGTCGAGGGCTGGATACCCAGGGAGCAGATTTTGGGCGTGGAGGCGCTGGCCAAAGTGCCCGAGGAGTTTGTCACGCAGCGGAACAGCAATGCCAATCCTCCCACTTTCTTTTTGACTCTGAGGAAACTCCTGACCAGCCATCGGGCGGAATTGTCGCAAAACGGACGACTGGCGACGCTGGAGCGACTGTATCCGAGGATTCAGGCCTGGTTCAACTGGTACAACACAACGCAGAGGGGTTCGTAAAGCAGCTTTCCTTACTAGAGCCCTAAATGAATGGATTCAATTAATTATTTTGAAGTTTTGAGTTTAATAGAATTGAATGAATTTGAATGAATGGCTTGAATTCCGAAATAATTCAAACGACAATTTCTTTTCAAGAAGAAAGGGCCATAATTTTGTGATTAAATCTGCCTGAATTTTATTTACTAAGCAGTTAACATAGATTTGTAAAAAATTTTCAACTTTTTGTTCTCAAAAGAAATTCAAAAAATTCATAAAAATTATTTATTAAATTTTATATGAATTAATTAATTAGAATTTGAGTTTAATAGAATTGAATGAATGGCATGAATTCCGAAATAATTTCTTTTGAAGAAGAAAGGGCCATCATTTAGTTACTAAATCTTAACATTGATTTGTTAAAAAAAAAAATCTGGCAAATTCAAAAATTTCATTTAAATCATTCATTCATTTATTCAATTCAAAATTAATTAGAAAAACATTCAATTTATTCCACATAGAATTGAATTAAACAATCAGAAATTTCATTGCATATGATAAAACAAAAATTAAATGATTCACGCAGGGCTCTAATCCTTACCTATTTGGTTTTAAGCAAGGTATTTTTCATATTTTCCAGGTGAACTACTGGGCAGCTACTTGTGGCGGGGAAGGAATGCCACAACTCTTAGAGAACTCAACCCCAAGAGCCTCTCCTCGGGTTTGGATGACTATCCCCGCGCCTCGCATCCCACGGATAAGGAACGCCACTTGGATTTGCGCTGCTGGATAGCCTTGGCTGCCTCGGTAATGGCTGAACTTTCAACTCTCCTTGGCAAAGACGATGTCAAGTACTACGAGACGGCCTCCTATTTAACAGACAACGAGCAGCTGAATCGCCTGCATTTGGCACCATACAGCGAACAGTACTCCGACTGGGGTCTCCACACCGACCAGGTGAAGCTGAAGCGTCCGCCGATCCTCCAGCAGCAGCAGCGGCATTCCAACTATCAGCAGCAGCAGCCGGAAATGCGCAGGGTGACGGGCGAGGAGCCCAGCTATCAGTTTGTGGATAGCACGTTTGGCTATGTCAGTCTGTTTCCCCTGCTCCTCGAGCAACTGGATCACGATTCGCCGTATTTGACCAAGTTGCTGAATGATTTACGTGACCCGGAGCAACTGTGGACCAAGTACGGCCTGCGTTCGCTGTCCAAACGATCGCCGCTGTACATGAAACGCAACACCGAGCACGATCCGCCGTATTGGCGCGGTCCCATCTGGATAAATATCAACTATTTGGCGGCCAAGGCGCTGCATCACTATGGCAAAATCGAAGGGCCGAATGCAAAGCTGGCGAGGGAGATTTACGCCGAGCTGCGCGACAATCTGGTGGGCAATATCCTGAGGCAATATAAGCGCAGTGGATATTTGTGGGAGCAGTACGATGACTCCACCGGCGAGGGAAAGGGTTGCAATCCCTTCACCGGCTGGACGGCCACCGTCGTTCTCCTGATGGCCGAGCAGTTCTAAATTCTAGCTGCTAAATCTGCTTAATCTGCTGTGAGTTCCTCAACGAACATCCCTGCCAGGATTCCTGAAAACCAATGATCTACATGTAAATTGTCTTTGAGCCGCACGAGTCGCTTTTAAATCAAATAAATTTGATGCTTAAAAATGTAGCAAAACCAACTTTTATAGGTTTTTATGTTAAGAGATGGTTTTTAATTATAATTAACTGCTTTTTGGCGCATCTGCGGTTCAAAGGCAATCCATCTTTCCTTATTTAGACTACTGTGTTGTGCAAAAATTAGAAATTCCAGTCTCTCTCTCTAGTTGCTGTACAATACTTAAGAAACTTTGACAAGAAACCGAGTGAAAATGAGAAATAGCGTTAAATAGACGAATTTTAAAATTATAACAAATAAAAATAAAACAAAAGTAAAACTAAATGTGTTATATTTAATAACTTCTTTATGGGTTTTTTTTTATATTTTTCCAACTAAAGCAATAAAGACTAGTTTTTTTATTTTTATTTTTTTTTTTTTAATTCTTGGATTTAAAAGTTTATATTTAATACTTTCTTTATGGATGGTTCCGAAAAGAATTTGTTATTTTTCAATTATTTGCTTTGTTAAAATGTTTTAAATGAGTGTATAAACAAATTTTTAGTTTTTTGGATTAAAAAGTTTATATTTCATACCTTCTTTATGGGTTTTTTGAATATTTTTCCAACTATGTTAGCAATAAAAACTCGTTTTAATTTTTCCATCATTTATTTCATTTTTCTTTCGAAAATTCCCGTCACTTGGAATACTCCGATATTATAGCTATATATTACACACGATTTCCTTAACTATATAGTACACACAATCGCACACACTTGCAGACATCCATGCAAACACTCACAGGCAGATATATTTCGTCTTTTCTCCGTTTCTGTTTCTGTTTCATTAAAAAAGGTACAAAAATGATATATGCACGATACACTTAATGCAAAACTAATTATATAATTGTTTAATGCGTCTAAAATTACACTAAAAAGAAAGAAAAGAAAAATGCAATCAAAAATGTTTAAGGTTAAGGTATTTCTCTTCGCTTTGCAAAAAAGATATATAAAAACAAGAGAGAACGCTATAGTCGGGTGCCCCGACTATCAGATACCCGTTACTCAGCTAAAGGGAGTGCGAAGGAGATGGAGAAAAACTTTGATCCGCCGTAACTTTTTAACGAATGGTCCGATTTAAAAAATTTCTTCTACATTTCGATAGGTATTGATAAACACAATAAAACTGCATTTTTACTTTTCCAAAATAATGAAATTTTTAAAATCGTATATAAGCGATTGTGGGCGTTAGAGGGGGCGTGGCACCCTTTTGAAACAAACTTGCGCTGCGTAGGAACTCCTAGAATCTTCATGCAAAATGTCAATCTTCTAGCTTTTATAGTTTCCGAGATCTCAGCGTTCATACAGACAGACAGACGGACAGACAGACGGACAGACGGACAGACGGACAGACGGACATGGCTAGATCGACTCGGCTAGTGATCCTGATCAAGAATATATATACTTTATGGGGTCGGAAACGCTTCCTTCTACCTGTTACATACTTTTGCACGAATCTAATATACCCTTTTACTCTACGAGTAACGGGTATAAATATTAAGGTAGAGGTTCTCTTTGTTCGGTGTTTGACTCAGGTTAGTCTTACTTTAGGGCTAATTAAAATGTTTATACGGTCTACGTGTGTAGTATTACTTAAGCGCATTTCAATGAACTCGAGTTGTGACTAACGAACAAATAATCAAAAACAAAAGGAATATGAAGAAGGGAGACATTTACAAAGATTATTTAAGATATTAAGATATATATGTAGGATATATATGGCGCTGCCTATACATCATGAAGTACATGGAACAAAGTCTTTATATGGCCAGAACCAAAGTCAATCTGTTAATCTCTCTATGCGCTAAACGGAAATGGGATTAACGTGCCGGGATCACTCGTCCTTCTTCTTGATGCGTCGCCTGAAGGACGGCAGGCGATCGAGGAGGGCCAGCAGAATGCTGCCGGGCAAACGCTGGTGCTGATTGATCAGATCCTCGATGGCGGTGGCCACCTGATGGAGAGAAAATGGAGAAGAAATTATTTAATATTCAATCACGATTCATAACCAATTTTTTCTGTAATTTTAAGTCCTACGGTTTGGTTTATACACGCAAAAACCACACGTTGCGGTCAAATCGATATGCGCATGGTATTTTTCTGGTATTGCATACGCATATCTCTCTCTCGGAGATTCTAAGACATCGAAAAAAAGCGAAAGGAGCTAAGTGAGAGCGAGAAGTATAAACTCGCTCATAATTCGAAATAGAGCGAGATAGCACATTCGAAATTCGAACTGGCCTGTTGCTTCCATTTCAAGCCTATCGAATTGAAATGCCCGCGTAACATAACGTTAAATCGATCACCGTTTCATATCAATATTACATTATTTTACTATAAACTTAGCTCACCTTAATCTGCAGATCCTGCGGCGTTAGGCTCTCGTCGTAGGGAATGGGCTTGCCCAGGTACGTGCGGAACTTGACGGGAAATCCACCATAAATAGGATAGACCGGAATGCGGACCTTGTTGTACAGACGCATGAAGAACGTCCGGAAGATGCCCACCTGGCGGAAGCCCTCGCGCAGATTCTGCGTGAAGCACGGAATGATCGGAGCCTTGGCCTCGATGGCCACCTTGGCGAAGCCCACGCGATTCCGCCACAGCAGCTCGTAGTAGTGATCCCCGAACTGCGCCTCATAGACGCCGCCGGGGGAAATGGCCAGCAGGTTGCCGTCGCGCAGAATGCTGACGCACGACTGCACGGTGCCGGGACTGACGTGGAAGGCCTCCGAAATGGTCCCCCAGCCGGGCAGCTTGAACAGGAAGCGATCGCCGATCGTGTAGATCAAACGCTCGCGCTGCAACAGCATCCGCGAGTTCAGGTAGTACATGTCGATCGGTATCGCTCCGTGGTAGTAGACAATCAGCGCCGGTCCCTCCTGCGGCACATTCTCCAGCCCGATCACCTCGTAGCCATGGTAGATCCGGGCATGGGCATCCCAAATGGCCGCCACAATCTTGCGGCCCACCCGCCAGAAGTTGCGATCTCCCTGCACCGCTCGCATGATCACCTGCCTGGAAAAACCAATAAGACATTTTATTAATCGTCTATAATACTATAAAAGTTGCATTTAAAAACGGCAAGTTGAATCGTCCGCCAAAACGGTTAGACTTAGAAGTCTAAAAGTAAAAACCGAAATTTGGTAATAATTTAAAGGTGTGTCCTGTATTTAATCATTAAAGAAATTTGTAAAACAAAATATTTGAAATCTCTAACTCGGATTTTACATATATATCATATTTTTCATATAATCATTTTCAAAGAGAGCTCTTAAATAGAGAGTTCTCCAATAAGACCTTTAACTAATCATCTATAATACTATAAAAGAAGGTGCATTTAAAAACGGCCAGTTGAATCGTCAGCCAAAACGGTTTGACTTAGGAGTCTAAAAGTAAAAACCGAAATTCGGTAATAATTCAAGGTGCGTTCTATGCAAAAAATAGTAAAAATATTTTTCTTTTAAATCTCTACATTTACATTTCACATTTTTCATAAATTCATCTTGTTATGATATTTCGAACCTGATCCAAAGTTAGACATTTAAGTTTAAAAAGTTCATTCAGGTTTGCCTCGCTCCCTAATTAATTGGCAAAAAAAGAAGAATCACTGATAATTATGTTTAAATTTAGTTGGCTGTCCGCAGGTGTTATCAGCATAAAATGGTCGTGTCTCCCCATATCAAAGAACTTATAAATCAATATACACACAAACAAAGTTGGCCTCACCTTGGCAAAACTGCGTTTAGTGCGGGGACTGATAACAGGGTTCATTCACAAATCTTTTGGCCCCTTGGCGACCAAAACAAAGTCGGGCAGGAATTGAAAAGAATTACCATTCCCTATTTGAAAAAACTGCATTTTAAAGATGAATCTTCAAAGCCTAAATCTTTTATTACTGCATTTTTAATTTAAAAAAATTATTACAGAATCTTAAGTCATAACAGAAAACGAGTTCTATTACTTTCCAACGAGATCTGATCATCAAGGTCGTCATGCAATTTCGTAACTTTAAAAATTATAAAATAATTATCGGTCGTTTAACACGACAGTGCTACATTTCGAATTCAAAATAATAATAAAAAAAAGAACATCGTTTATGCATCGTCAGGCTTTTTAGATTAATAGTTGTTCCAGTCGTAAAAAAAGGTAAAAATGTGTTTAAGTGGGGAATGTGAGGGATCAGGTTGCGGTAGTACAGTTAATTGCATTCGAACTCGGTTCTTTTATGGATTTATAATGCCTGTGATTACGCGCAATAGACGGGGGATTTTGGGGCGGGCGGGGTCTTCAGTGACCATGAACTGATAGGCATTAGTGAAGTAAAGCGAAGCGTATATGACGCTATCGGAACAACAATATCGCACTGAAGGAATGTCTCATGAATGGCGTGTTTTGGTTTGTGATTTTCTCCACCGCCCATCGAACTGTCTCCATTTGGTTTTGTACTGAGAAAAACCCACTTTATTGCTTATATGCAGTTTCTATTTCGATCCATTTATTACAATATGAAATGCAAGCAAAAACTTCTTGACATTGTAGCGTGTGCATACATATAAGTACTAAATATAGGAATTTTATGAGACTTTTCTGCTATACAAATGGCTTATTATGTATTTCATATTTTTATCGCATGGAAAAAATTGAATTTTAATAAAAATATTTTAGTGTATCATATTTAAGGAATTATTGTAAAACATCTACTTTTTTCTGGTTATTTCATTTGTACATTTTTAATGAGACTTCTAGTTCGAAACCAATCGCGCAATAAAATATATAATCTATTTTAAGCTGCAAATTAAGACTAGCCAATAAATTTATAAAATTGTTAACCAAACAGTAGTCGGCAATAAAATTTCCGCAGCAGTCGTTACCTAAACAAAAAGAGCTGTAATATTTTTTATTGGGTTCTTAAAATGATTTGAAAACTAGGGTATTGAAAATAATGCAACTGTTTTTTCTCTGTAAACTGCAGAAATGGTTAGCCACTATAGTTAAAGCCATTAGGGCTAGTGGCGGTTGGGCTAAAAAGCTTTTCAGTAATTAGCATGACCAACCGGTTGGGCATTAGAGAGTTAGAAATAGAAAATAAATAAAAGCACGCCAGCACACAAACGCCGGTATACACATGTATTCCAACTATATGTGTAAATATACATAAATAGAGTAAAAGTTGGCAGTAGCGATCCCCTGCTGAATAGGTTTAAGGTATTGTATAGGTGCAATGGTCAAGAGTTCGCATACAGTTCTTAAAGGGTCAGTGTTTTGAGTGTTTATCCGTCAGATATTATTTTCTTTTAAGTAACGACGCAGAATATTCAGAAATTTGTAGTAGTAGGCAGTTCTAGTTTACAGTATTTCAAAACATTAGTTTTTTGAAAAATATTTTTCAGACTAAAAAAAAAATTGTTTTGTAAACGAAACCCCATAAGCTGTATACTTTATTAACATGTTAATAAATGGTCATAAGTCATTACAATTGTTGATTACCCACGCTTGTTAACTTTTATGAGCACTTGCTGTACTGAGTTGATTTGCGCAAAAAAATTAATGCTGAAATCTAAATTTTTTTGCTATAATTTTGATGATTTTACAAATAATAAGGAAAATCGGTATTTGAGGGACAATTGCTGACAAACAGAATATTTGCTATAACTACAGTGAAAACCCCGACTGACTTGTTTTGCGGCACTATACAAAAAAAAGGTTTTGAGGCTAAATTTTAATTTCTAGATTTTCTTTATCGAATGTCTACTGTAGTTTTGAATAACATTGTTGTCTAGCTTTTTTGTTGGCAACACTGGTTCTCCCTCCCTCTCTCTTGTGCCCTTTTAATTACAACTGAAGAGCGGGACAAAAGATGCCGGCTTAGAGAGGGGGGCGACAGAGACAGGTGAGGCGGTGGGTGGGAGAGAGAGAGCGGCCCCAAAAGTGCGCGATCAGCATGGGAGAGTTCATTAAACGGTAAAAAGGGAGCTACACTGTAATTTTCTTTTCGCTTACCTGTGCAACTTGTAGATAAAGAGCACCAGGAACGAAATGTAGATGAGGGCCACAAAGACGAGGGGCAGCAGGAAGGTGACAATTAGCGGGGTGAGGAAGCGATATAGCCATAGTGAATAATCCAGATCGATGTAGGAGGCTAAAAAAACAGCAGCACATGATTTTGTTAATATTTACCCAATTATTGGGCCCTAATTAGTATTACTCACACAGCAGGCTCTGCAGCGTTTTGTACAGGTTCTCCAGGAATTCCATTTCAAGTGCCGTCTTTCATTTGTTGTTCTTGCGCAAAAAAGAAAGAACTGAAGCCACACAGTAAAAAAAAATAAAAAAAAAAACAAATCGTTTTGGCCTGATTCTTTTTTGTACTTTCTTCGCCTTTCTTTCGCGCTTCTCGAATTCTTTTGTTTCTCCCGCGATTCTTTTAAATGGTCATCGTATCGTGTGTTAAATTTAAATCATTCGCATGCATTTTATTTGCATGTTTCATTGTTATTGTTGTTATTCGGGGGACTATTTGTTGTGGTCTTCGGTGAATCGGAATGTAAACAACCGCTGCGCTCAGTCGCAGAAAACAAGACAACCGCCGCCGTTCGCAGTCAGAAACATTGTGAGCGCGCCGCGCTATTCGCTTAATAATACTACAAAGTTGTATTTTTTATTGTTATTGTTGCTCCCTCATTTCTGTTGCTTTTTCCTCTTCTTTTTCTAGCCCCACTTTCGTGGCACCTGGCAACGCCGGCCCAGCTGTTCTGGCGGTGCTGCCAGAAGGGCAGAACCAACTATCGATAGTATCGCATGCACGGTTAGCCCCCCCTAGGCCACCTCTAGCGCCACGGTCACACTAATCGACGTTGAAAAATCGCGAGTCGCATTGCAATCGCATGCAATTTGTTTTGTTATTAATTTTCCAAATTATCTCGGGCCTGGTGCTGCTGCCAATTGTGATCCACTACGTCTATTACATAATAAATGCGATTGCCGGCGATTGGGGCGAGCAAAGAGAGCAGCAGCTGCAAAGGAGCCCCAGTCCAGCCAAAGAGCGCCACCAAAAGCACCACCCCCGCCCCCCGCCGCCTTCGTCTTTGTCGTCATCCGGGGTTTTCATAAACAATTTGACAAATTCTTCGCCGCCTCTGCCTCTTCCGCCAGCAGCAACAACAACAACAATGCAAACAAACGATGACGCCAAGTTTATTAAAAAGTGCGTATGTGTGTGCGTTTGTTTTCATGTGTGGGCGTACAAGTGGCCGAAGAACAAAAGCTAAAACACTCACCGTGCGTCAGAAAGAGAGCCAAAATCACCTGGCGCCAGTGGCGTAGCCAGGATTTGTTAAAGGGGGTTTAAAAAACATGTATTCTACGTAGAGTACTTTCTACTTAGAGCCTCCCCTGAGAAGGGGGCTCTAACACCCCCTCAAACCCCCTGGCTGCGCCACTGCCCTGCGCTCTTATTGATTTTCCACTTTGCGTTCAAGTTTCGTCTTTTTATTTTGCTATTTCCTATAGAATCTGTTATGATTTTTGGGTTTTAGCATATATTATTTACAAACGCATAAATTAAATGTATTACTTCTTCCACGGAAGTACTGGGTAGCATTACCTCATTACGCATTGAACCGCATAATTTATGATTGATCCAACAAAATGTTCGCTCTTAATCCCAACAACAAACAAACAGGAGGTGGAAAGGCGGCTCCATCGAACCGCATCCCACGGATAAGGCGCTGATTGTCAACTACCAACTGGAGGCCACCGTCTTTGGGGAGCCCAACAACCCGATGATCGAGGAAAAGAAGGTAAGAACACCTACCATGCACTGCGGGAAAATCTTTAGCAATATCGAAAGTTTTATTCTTAAAATTAAGTGGGGAAAAAAGTTTATATTACTATATATTATATTAATATAACGGAATCTGTGGGTAATATTTTCAGTTAATATTCTTTAAATAAATTTAAAAATAGAATAATTAATTTCAAGTTTTCATATTAATAAAGAAATATGTTACAAATGTTAGAGAATTTATTATATCAAGATTTAAGCTAAAATCATGAGAAAATATCAGTAAAATATGATTGAAATGTTAGAAAGTTTGTTCTTCAACTGAGAGATATTCCATAAAATGTTAATTAGATGAATAATTTATAAAACTATATCTACATTATTTATGGTTAGTTTTCACCTATGAGAATATCATCTGAAAATACTGAAAGTGCATCTGAAAAAAGTAGTTCTGCTAATTAGAAACTAAGATTCGCTAAGTTTTTTACAGTGTACCTCCAAAGGGTTAGGGGGCGGGGGCAGTCGGTGACATTGAGCGGGCCAATCGATAACGTAACAACGGGGTCGATGACGGGTCGCGCTCAAGTATCAAGTATCGAGTATCTAGTAGTGACTAACGATACCCAAAAGTGGTTGGCGGGTCTTTAACCTCAATTCACGTTTTCTGGCTTTTTGTCGTTCGTTTTCGTCGATTGTTCACGACCATAAATAAATAGTCAGTTTTTTGTCGTTTCTTGCCAAAAATCTGGGCGACCGTAAAAGTTTTTAGTTAAGATCTGATTCGGTTATGTGGATAAGTACATTCGTATGACCTCTGAAATGTTCCCAAACTGTTTCCTTAATTTGTTAACTATCTTGTTAAAACCATACAAAAAATAATAATAAACACATTTCATTTTAGAGGTAAATAGGTACTTAGTTCTTAAAGATGATTTTTTTTAATATTTATTTTCAAACCAATTTTTTTTACAATTATCAACCTATATTACGAATACTTCCATATTTTGTAATTAAGACTTAACCATAGGTTAAATATTTAACTGTTAGTTATTTGCAGTTTGATGATATTAGAAACTAGGTCTCCATTTGTTATACATTTATTCTTTTATGATAATAATTTATTTAAATATTAAATTGTTTAAGCTACATTAATTTATATAATTTTATCTTCCTCCAGCACTGTCAGAAAATCATTAGACTCCGCTCGCTGAACGCCAAAACGGATCCGGCTGCCTTGGCCCGCGAGGTGGTGGAAAAATGCGATCTCATCCACAAGTCGCAGCTGAACGACGTTGAGCAGATAATCTTCTACCTGAAGAATCGCAAGGATAATGCCAGCAATGGTAAGAAATCGTTTAATAGTAATTCCTACTTATTTACCAATACTTTCTAATTAATATCTTGTAGATATTCCGGATAATAACACTCACAGCCGGCGATCTGCCGCTCTCCACACCGCGCACACACGCTCCTCCGCCCGATCGCACAGCAGTGTGGCGGCCATGAGCAGCAGCACTGGCGGCGGAGGAGGTGGAGGATCTGGATCTGCAGCCAGCAATGGCGTGTCCAATGCCCTTAGTGCCGCCACGCCCACGGCGGATGTTTCTATCAACAATATTGATGAGTATGTGGAGCTGCTGTACGAGGAGCTGGGCGAACGCATCCGCGGCTCGGCCATGATCCTCCAGATGGCACGAAATCCCGATAATCTCGAGGAGCTGGAAAAGAATGGTTAGACCAGACAGCCAGCTAGCTTATTTTTCTCATTTACCTATAAATATTGATAATTTTAGAAGCCTGCCTGAGCGCCTTGTCGCGGGTTTTGCGCGAGGATTGGCGCAAATCCCTGGATCTCTCCACCAATATAATCTATATATTCTTCTGCTTCTCCACCTACACCAAGTTCCATCCCCTAATTGTGCAATATAAAGTAGGGATAGATTTTATACAAATTAAATTACCTTTTTAATGCAAAATGCATCTAAATTTACCTTAGATTGGCTCGCTGTGCATGGACGTGATCGACTACGAGCTGCGTCGCTACGAGACGATGCGAAATGAGCTGGACGTACGCAAGCAGCCCAATGGCTCCTCCACTCCGCACTCGGCGAAGGCCAGCAAGGAGAAGCTGAACCGCAGCACCGACGACTTCCTGGACATTATGAACGAGGAGAAGCCCAAGGAGATGGAGCCGCCGCGTCGTCGCATTCCGGAGCTAAAGCAGCGCCCCAAGTCGGGCAATTGGAGCAGCTTTCACGGCTCCATGTCGTCGTCGCTGATCAAGAGTCAGATTTTGAATAGCAGCTACCACGAGGCACTCTGCACTGGCGGCGGTGGCGGTGCCTCACCAGCTGGAGATCCACCCGCTGAACTGAAGGCCCAGAGCAACGAGTCGCTGGACAGGAACGATCCGAAGGTCAAGAAGGAGGAGATCGATCGGCTGAACAAGCAGCTGAAGATCTTCGCCAAGAAGCAGGAGCAGCTGCTGCGCGTGGCCTTCTATCTGCTGCTTAATATGGCCGAGAATGTGAAGCTGGAGGAGAAGATGCGACGCAAGCATATAGTCAAGATGCTCGTCAAGGCGCTGGATCGCCAGAATATCGATCTGCTGATGCTGGTGAGCACATTCCTCAAGAAGCTGTCGATAGTGGGCGACAACAAGGACGAGATGGGCTCGCTGAATATTGTGGCCAAGCTGCCACGGCTGTTTCAAAGCACGCACACGGATCTGGTGCAGGTCACGCTGAAGCTGGTCTTCAATCTCTCCTTTGACGGCGGACTGCGGCGCAAGATGATTGCCGCCGGCTATCTGCCCATGCTGGTGATGTTCATCAACGATGAGAAGCACCATGGCATCGCTGTGAAGATTCTCTACCACATGAGCCTGGACGACAAGGTGAAGGCGATGTTCACGCAAACGGAGTGCGTGCAAATGGCCACCGATGCTATCATTCTTAATCTCAATGTCAAGGTCGATCTGGATTTGATTGCCCTGTGCATTAATCTCTCGCTGAATCGCCGCAATGCCCAGATTATGGTGGAGGGCCAGCGGCTGCATAGCCTCATGGATCGGGCCTTCAAGTACCAGGATGCCTTGCTGATGAAGCTGCTGAGGAATCTCTCGCAGCACGAGTCCCTGCAGTTGCAGTTCATCGACTATGTCGGCGATCTGGCGCGCATTCTGACGATCTGCGACGACGAGGCTTTCATCGTTGAGTGCCTGGGCATTTTGGGCAACCTAGCGCTGACCGATTTGGATTACTCGCAGATCCTGCAGAACTTCCAGCTGATTCCCTGGATCCGCCAGCTTCTGGTGCCCTGCTCTCGCCTGGATGATCTTGTACTCGATACCATCGTCTATCTGGGCACCTGTGCCTGCGACGAGCTGTGCGCCCTGCTCTTTTGTCGCGCCAAGGTGGTCATCTCGCTGATCGAACTGCTGAAGGCCAAGCAGGAGGACGACGAGATTGTGCTGCAGATCATCTTTGTGTTCCAGCAGATTTTGCGGCACGAGAGCACCCGGGAGTACATGATCAAGGAGACCGAGTCGCCGGCCTATCTGATCGATCTGATGCACGACAAGAACGAGGAGATACGCAAGGTGTGCGACTATTGTCTGGACATCATCGCCATCAGCGACAGCGAGTGGGCCAAGCGCATCAAGGTGGGGCGGTCAATATTATATAAATAAATATTATCTAATAATATTTTAAATATATCCCTCAGCTGGAGAAGTTCCGCAACCACAATTCGCAGTGGCTGTGCATGGTGGAGTCGCAGCAGGATCAGGACAATGAGCAGGACTACGCCGACCAGGAGGACGAGTGCGACAATGACCTAGACACTTATCTGCGCTCCGAGTACTTGGACAACTGCGATCTTTACAACGACAATGTGGCCGACAATGAGAGCAATAGCAACAGCAACCACAGCAACAACAATCCGGCCAGCCCGGCCATGTCCACCTACAGCAGGCCACTGAGCACGTGGGTTTTTATTGGGATATTATAAAGAAATTATTTACTAATCCTCTGATTCCCTTTTTCCCTTACAGCTATCGCCGCAGCCAGGATCTCGACGATCTGTACAACATGACCTCCAGTTCGAAGTCGCAGGGCTCCAGCGACAACAACTTTATGTTCAAATCGAACAAATCCCTGGATGCCGACGGCCTGCACGAGGAGCTGCTAATGGCCTAGAAACCGAAACCGAAACCGATCAAATTTTAATTAAGAAGCTTCTGCAGATGATGATGTCCCCTGTGTACATGTTTAGTCACTACCTATTACCGATTTATAGGATATATATATATGATACTTTCACGCTTGTTAGTCAAAGACGTTAAATGAGTTTAGCGACGCGGCAACTTTGTACTCAAGACATTCAAATCGAGCAACGGCGCACAGTTTGCCAGTTTTTTAGTTTAGTTCGTTTACCCATTAATTGTTTATTTTGTTATTTATTAATATTTATTCTCGCTTAGCTTCCCCCTCGGTTGCTCGCAATGCAATTTACTGTGCAATAATCTCTCACTCAAAGTATTACGTCAAACGTTTTTAGTTGTACTTGTTTTAGTTTAATCCCCTTGAATCCTTAATTTTTTATTTGTTTATTGAAATACCTTACGAACGAAAGTCAAATTGTAATATTAAACGAAGGGCGATCGATCCATTGAACAGAAAAAGAAACCCCGAAGAATATATACAAAGCTAATGTAAATGTTTACAACGTTTGTTTGGTTTTTACTCTGGTATTTCAAAAGGGTAAGTATTAAAAACAATTTGAAATTATATTGGTTTTTTATTTTTTGTGTTACACAATAAGGAATATTAAGTTGCTGTTCGTTTCCGAAACATACTTATGACAGTGCCTAGACCGATCCGATAAACATGCATATATCTATGTACGTGTATATATAAATAGAAGAATATGTTCTCTAGCTCACTATATATATCATATATCATGGATAACCCATAAGGCGAGGCCTTCTTCTAGCGTTCAATGCTAACCTAAATCTAGATATCTTCATCTTCTTCAGCGTTGGCATCTCACATCTCACATTTCACATTGATTTTCTCTTTCCTGGGGTCGCATTGACTTGGATTATGTCTCATCTGCCGCAGTTTTCGACTTAGCCTAGGGTTTTAACAAATTTTTACACAAATATCAGATATCAGACACAGATATACATATATATAAATATAGAAAATATCGAGTGGAGTGGAGATAAAGCGCTAAAAAAGATCTACAGATAGAGGAGCTAATCCAGATAGTCCATGGTCTTGATGAACTTCACCACGGATCCGAAGAGCGTCCAATAGAACTCGTCCTCGCCCTCGAGCTTCTTGCCCAGGAAGCAGCTGATGTACTCCACGGTGGACAGCAGGAAGGGTGGATTGGCCTGCGGGTTGGAATTAAGCTTAGGAGTTAGCTACTCAATGAGGAAGACAGATTCCACACTCACCATTATCACCACGTATATGAGCACGGGCAGCAGATCATCCGCAGCGGGCACGCGACCACTGGACATGCGCAGCAGGCTCATGATGCTCGAGATGCAGCTGGAATGGGAAAACAAAGGTAAATTAAATATATATAACACGTATAAATATACAATCTAAATCCCTGTAAAAATATATTCACCCATCATGAAAGCATATTTCAATTATTTAACAATTTGATATCGCGAATTCCTCAGAAGAAATAGGAACTACTATTTAAAAGATTTAACGCAAATTCTTTAGAACAAGAAAAAAAGGTAAAACAACCTAAATCCATGTAAAAATATACACTTCTTAGCATGAAAGCATAAATCGATTATTCAATAATTTTAGACCGCTAATTCTTCAGAAGAAAAAGGAACTAATATTTGAGAACTTTAACGTTTTAAAAAGGAGACCGCGAATTCTTTAGAACTTTAATGGATTATGATTTATCATATATGAATTCTTAAAAAAAAATGTAGCCGCGAAATCTTCAGAACCAGAGGAACTAATATTAACCACACTAAGATTATTAATACGTCTTGTTATAAAAATATTGATTGATTAATGAATAAACCCTTAAATGATTCTTGAGAAACCCAACTCACTTGATGATGCACTGTAGCTTCTCGCGCGGCGTCTTGTAGGCGGCCATGTGGCACAGCTGCTGCTGGGCGAAGGTCCACGGCGCCTCGCCCAAATACTCCTGGGCGATGCACAGCGCCGGATGGGCGGGATGCACGAAGCGCTGCAGCTTGCCAATGTGCGCGGAGAGCACCTCGTCGCGCGACACATCGGCATCCTCGTTGGGGAACATCACCTGCTCGTACATCTGCTCGAGCAGCATTCGCTCGATGGCCACCCGGGCGGCGTCCACCTGCCACTCGTCCTGCAGATCGGCACTGGAGCGCAGCTCCTGCAGCAGCGACTCCACGCATTCCTCGGTCAGTTCGACCCGCTCATCGCTGGCTCGCAACTGAGCGAATTCGGTTTGGAACTGCTCGAGCTTTTCCTGCTGTCGCGACCAGGCGAGATACATCCGAACGAGGGCCTGCAGCAGGCATCTCTGACTGCTGCGCGCCTCGCCGCGCAATCGGGCCTCCAGCTGATCGAGTTGCTCGGTGCGCAGCAGCAGCTGCTGGCGATGGCGCATCAGGTACTGCAGGTAGCTCTGCCTGCGCTCCAGATCCCGCTGCAGCTCGGCCAGCAGCTGGCCATGCTGCGGCCGCTCCAGCTGGGCCAAGCAGCGCAGCGCCTCGGCCACGTGCGAGATCTGAGGCAATCGCTGCAGGCTGATGCACTGCGCCAGCTGGATCTGCAGGTAGATCTGCAGCGGTGTGGCCATCGTGGAGGAGGTGGAGCTGGTCTGCCGGAAGTCGCCGCTGTGCAGATCCGTGCGCGAGAGCACCGTGCGCAGCTTCTGCTTGACGCTGCCGAAGGCCACGCCAGGAATTTGCCTGTTTAAAAAGGGGGAAACGATTAAGATGGGTCGAAAGGAAGGAGTTCGGAGATTGACACACATGTTAAAAACATGAAAAATTGTATTTTACAGTGTGAGTAAAATTGTTGATATGTGTGTCAAATACAAAAGTGTTAAAATGTTAAAAATAATAATAAAAGCACACACAGTTCAATTGTGCTTTTTACACAATGTGTTATTAACACGACGTGTTTCTTACACATTGTGCTTTTAACACAAATGAAAATTACAATTCACTGACATTATTAACACGACATGTTTTTTACACACCGTGTTTTTAGCACAAATGAAAATTACATTTCACTGACATTATTAATACGATGTGTTCTTTACACAGTGTGTTTTTAACACAAATGAAAAATACATTTCACTGACATTAACGAATCGAAGGGAAAATGAAAAACCAATATGTGCGATTATATCTTGTAAGTTAGTTTTAACCATTTCAAAGCATATATGAAAAACGTTCATTTTTCAGTTCAACGTAGAATTCTGACACTTTAATGTGAAAAAACCATTGTGTTAAAAACACAATGTGTAAAAAACACGTCGTGTAAAACACACAAATGACATGTGAGTGTGTTATTTATGTTTCTAACAAATATGTTGGATACAATTTTTTACACACAAAAGTAACAAATTTTTTTTTAACCTAACATTTGTTATTTTCCGAACCCTGCTTTAAATACTCACCCTCCATTCATGTGCTTGTGCAGATGCGAGGAGGAGGAGGAGGCGGCTGCCGCTGCTCCTGCTGCTCCTCCGTTGCCCGCCGTGGAATCCGAGTTGGTGGCCTCGCTGGAGCTGCTCACCTTGCGGCGGTACTTGGCCAGGATGTCCTCGCTCGTATCACAGTAGTGGGTGCCGAAGTTATCGCAGCCGGCGCTGGGATCGAAGCTCACGCTGCGTAAATCCGCTGGGGCCACCGAGGGATTGGAATTGGAATTCTTGGCACTACCGCCTCCCCGGCGATTCTTGAATATGTTGGTCATCTTCAGCTTGTTGAACAGCCCAGCTCCATGGTGATCACGATCTCGATCTCTATCTCGATCACGATCTCTCTCCCTTTCTCTTTCTCTATCCCGATCCCTCTCCCTTTCGCGATCCCTTTCCCTGTCGCGATGATACGGCTGCTTCTCCTTGTCCGCGCTCGCATCGAAACTAATGCTCTTTGGTATGGCGCCGGTGGCCTTGGTGGGTGCATTAGCTCCTCCAGCTGCTCCTCCTGGAACAACTGGGGGTTCCAGCTGCAGCTGCTGCGTCTGCGCACAGAGCAGCATCTCCTGCTGCTTGTCATCATCGGTTTTGGCTAGCATGTTGAGTGTGGAGTTGAGCATTATCTCGTGATTCTCGTAGTTGAGGCTCTGATGGCGACGCATGCTGCCCGCCAGGATGCCGTTGCGTCGTCCATCCACGATGGCCGATCGCTGCTCGATAGAGATGCGTCGGTGTTCTACATTAGTGGAGGGAACTCCTGCGATGGCTGCCTGTTCATCCTGGTTGAACATATCGAGGAGCTGCTGAACCAGGCCAGGTGGCTGCTCGGCATCCTCTAAGCGTATCCTCCTGGCCAGCTCCTCCTTGTCCTCGCTGCAGTCGCTGAAATCGATGAGATCCCGATGCTCTTTCTCCTTTTCCTTCTCCTGATTGTGTTTCTTCTTTTTCAGAGCCGATCTCTCCCTGTGATGATGATGATGCTCCCGCTCCCTGTGGTGCTCCCTATGGTGATTGTGATTGTGATGATGATGATGATGATGCTCCTCCTCCAGATTCAAGCTCTGATTGCTAATGCTGCTCTCCGCCGACGTTTGGCGTCGCATGCAAGAGGTGCCCATCAGCGGAGTGGTCTTGCGCCCGCTGGAATCGCTGGCTCCGCTGCATTTGTACTGCTGCTGGAAGCTTCCCTCGCCGCCCAGCACATGGTAGCTGGTCCTCACCGAACTGCGGGCCAAAGAGGAGGCTCCCTGATAGAGATTCGCATCCTCGTACGAGTTGACCGCATCGAAAAAGGCCGAATCCTCTTGGCTGCGCTCGCTGACGTTGCCATGGGGATCAGGATCGGGATCCCCATCGCCACTGCTGCCCGGCGTCTGCTCATCCTCATCGCCGTCATCTAAAACAGCTGCCTGCGAAGCCGCCGCCGTATCCGATTTGGTTGTTATGGAAACATTATCATCCGTATCGATTTCGGCCAGCTTCTCCGAATCGCTGGCCAGCACATCGGTGCTCCAGTTGCTCTCCGATCGCTGATCCGAGGCATCCAACTGGGGATGCGCTGGTGCTCCTCTTCCCGCTCTGGCCAAAGCCTCCACCACAAAGTTATTATCGCCGGGAAGAACAACAGCGGAGGGTATTAAGGGAGTAGAGAAGTTTCTATCCCCCCGCTCCGTGGCATCCAGCGTGTTCTCCGAATCCGAGGCCAGGACATCCGTCGACCAGGTGTCCGAAATAATGCTCACATTCTCATCGCCCTCGAACTTCTTCAGCTCGAATTTGCAGAATTTATCCTCAATATCGGATCGCGCCTTCGAGAGCAGCATCTTTTGCATTTGCGGATTGGCCGCCGCCCGCGAATTGACGCCATGATGGTGGACTAGATCCCCGCCAGCGCCATCGCCATCGGTTACCTGGGAGGATGGCGTATCGCGGCCACTGATATTCGGTGTTCCACGGCCCGAAACATTCGCCGACACCATATCGGATAGATTGTCCTCGTTCTCATGGACATCCCGCTCCTGCTGCTCCTCCAAATCCAGCGAACTGGCCACCGAATGGGCCGCCTCACTGATGGCCTCCAAATTATCTGAATTCCCGATGGAAGCATCATCCTGCGGTCTTCTCATCGCCTCCAAACTACTCACATCATCATTGTTCGACGAGGGAGCCATTGGTGCGGTTGTAACCACGGCAGGCAGGAGATTACTGCCATCCTGACCGATGCAGTTCATCTTGAGCACCTCCTCCTCGGTCAGCGGCTTCAGTTTGCTCTTGGCGCCGGCATTGTAGAGGCTGAAAACGAGCACGGGATCCAGGGGATCGACGACGCCGCAGGAACTCAAACTCGTGTTGCTGCCGCTGTGCGAGGAGGAGCACTGCTCGAGAAGATCGCCGCCATTCTGGAGCTCTGGCGGGGGAACAGCAACTGAAGCGGCAGCCGCTACAACAGGATGATGATTGTTGCTACTGAAACTCATGCCCTTGGCCAGCTTTTTGGTGGCCTTGCTCAGGCTCATCAGACTCTTGTTGCTTTTCTTGGCGTTGCTCTTCTCGGGACTCTGCGATTCCCGCGATTCCCTTGCTTCCGACGGCGTCACATTGGGCTTGGGTATCCTCCCGAGAATCCTCTGCAGCCGCTGTCGCTCCTCCACGGATATATCGTACTCCTCGCGGCCGCTGAGCAGGCGAAAGAACTCCACCAGCTGGGCCAGTTCCCGCTGATTGATGGCCAGCTGGGAGCGCTCAAAGTCGCTCTGCTGCGGCAGTATGGCCACCACATCCTCGCCCGTTTGGCCCAACATCAGCAGATCCATCAGCTGCACCAGTTCGCTGTCCTCGTCGTTCAGCGCCAGTCGCTGCAGCAGTCGCACAATCTGATTGAGATTGTGACGCATTCGTTCGCTGACATTTACATCGATGATTCCCAGCAAATCGGCGCTTGCAATGGCCGGTGAAATGAAGTGGGTGAACACGAGATCGGTGAGCAGCTGGCGGATTTCCTGCTCCTCGTGGCGCAAAGTCTGGCGGAGCTGCTGACTCAAAGTCTGCAAAAGCCAGCGAAGGGAAGAGGGAAACAGGGCCCAACTCTGCTGCAGACTGCGCACAAAAACCTGGACATGCGAGTGCAGTTTCCCCAGCGTCTCCGCGTGAAATCTCGCCACATTTCGCTGGTACTCCTCACCGTCTTCCTCCCGTCCGAAGCGCTTCTCCCGCTCCTTCTGCCCAAAGGTCTGCATCAGCTTGTGCGGATCGAGATCCAGCCAAATCTCGTGCTCACTCAGCACGCCCATGAGTGGAGCATGCAAAGCGGCGGTTAGGAAGATTCTGGCGGAGAATAGGCTCTCCACCAGCCGCTGATAGAGTCGCGCAAAGGAGCTGCTATTGGATCTTAGCAAACGACGCGGCTGCTCGCTGGTTAGCAGTTGGATTTCTATCAGTTCGCGCAGCAATTTGAGCAGCAATTCAACGTCCTTGGTGTTGATGGCATTGCCATAGAGACCCGTGGCAATGGTGTTGATTATCTGGCCCAGTTGACTGGCCGAAAGCAGCGAGAGGCGATCCGCGGTGGCCAACGAAAGGGCCAGCAGATAGGGCGTGTTGTACAGGTAGTTGAACAGATCCTCGTAGGCCAAAGCGTGCTGGAAGGAGGAGAGTTTAAAGAGTAAGTAAGGCTGCTAATCCTTGGATTTATATATTATATATGTGCTTACCTCGTAGGGCAGCAGCTGCTTGGCGTCCATGAACTGGGCACTGTCGTAGGCACTCGCCCGGCGGCACGAGAGCAGCGGATCGTGGTCCGTGCGCGCCAGGAGCAGCTCGTTCAGGATCTGCCGTTGCTGGGCGCACACAAAGGCCAACTGTGTGGTGAATAAGTTATTAATACAAATTAAAATTAATTTTTAAAAATATATACCCTTGCAATATACACATTTACATTCAAAATTATAGCTGATTTCGTATTATTTGGACATTAATTTACAATCCTTCTTTTGTAGCTGCTTTTTATCTATAAAGATGAAGGAAGCTATAATCGTTTTCCTATTAAAATCTTGTAAAATATACTATCTTTTCTATGGCAGCTATATGACAAAGTCCTCCGATTTTTTAAAAACCTAAATCGAAATTCAAAAATATTGAAAACAAGTTCTATACTAGAGTAGAAGATAATACAATAAAGATTAACAAAGTTAAAATTTTGTTCCCTATTAATCTCTTATACATTTTCCTACTGAAAATCGATAGGATTCGATTGTTAAAAAACTGTATTCGAAATTCAGGAATATTCAAAATAAGTTATATACCAGAGTAGAAGAAATTACGATAAAGATCAACAAAGTTATAATTTATTTCATATTAATTTCTTATAGATTTTCCTATCGTTCCTATAACAGCTATACGATTTAAAAAAAAAACTATTTCGAAACTCAGAAATATTTTAAAAACCATATTAAAAAACACCGAAGATATATCATTTGTTTCCCCTATTTTCCCGATCCTGAGATCCCTGAGACATCCAATAAATCCAAGAACCCACCTTGGTTATGGTCCCCGCATTCGTTTCCAAGGCCCCAGTGAGTTGGGCAAAGGCCGCTTGCTCCTGCTGGATGAAGAGCTGCTCCTGGCGAAGGGTGCGGGCCAGGTCCATGATCTCCAGCAGATTGCCAGCAGCTGGGGGCTCCATGGTGCAGCTGGCTAAAAAAAGGAGAGTATTTAGGTTTAGTTAAATTCAATATAAATTCTCAAATTGTAAATAATAATATAATATAGTAAATGAATGCGTAGTATTTCCCTCTGTTGCTTTTATCATATTTCCTTGGAATTATTTCCGTACGGAAGAATGTTTAAATTGTTTATCAAGTTCTCTTGAAATGTTCTCTGTTCTTCTATTGAATTTTTAAATTTAAATATTTTTTAATGCTAAATTAGTTTATTTTCGATTAAAGTACTTAGAGATTATTGAGTTCCTATGGAAGTCTTCTTTTTATCCATCGGGTTTCCCTGCGAATTCAGCCCAATTGCTTTTCTCAATTGCAATCACTTTTCCATCCGCTTTTCCCATTTTCCCCTGCGTTGCGAAAACTGCGCAATGGCGCTCCATTTAAATTGCTTTGCATTATTTATGGCAATGAAGGCATGACATTTGATATCAGTTCGCTACTTGGGTCTCCCCAGTCTCAAATAGACCCAAGCTGTCAACTAGTTTAATGGCTGAGCGCCAGTTAATTGATGAACATAAATATTTAACACTTAATGGATGGGCGGGCCATGGGGATTTAAAAACAAATCGATTTTAAAATAGCCTAAAAGCTGTCACATAGTTACAAATATTATTTTACATAATTGTTTTGGATCTTAGTAAATAAATGGGATTTCGTATAATATACAATGGTAATAAATACCATTAAACTCTTTGTGTTAAATCATTACTAAGTGGTTGAGTTGGGTGTGCCAAAATCGTGATCGATTCATTTCGATGTGACTCCGATCTTTGTGCTCGATTCGCTGGAAATCCCAATCCCTATAGCTATAGGCCAATAAGCCTGACCTTATTTTCCCATTGTGTTTACACCTGTGACGTCTGAGATCGCATGGGAAAGCGTATCACGCGCTCAGCTCTAATTGCGATGATCTCTCTAATACATTACAGTGGATATTAGTTGGCAGGGTGTTGGATTAGAACGGAATATTTGTTTGTTAAATTACCATTATATCAAAAAAATATTAAAATTTTTTTTTTAGTTTTTTATGATTTTTTGTCAAAGGATTTTATAAATATTTTGTCTTAAGAAAATGTTTAAATATTTGTTATTTAATAAGTTTTTTTTTTAACGGTAGAGTGGATATTAATTGGCATAGTTTTGTACTAGAAAGGAATATCTGTTTATTAAATTCCATTATATTAAAAAATATTGACATTTTTTTAAAGGTTTTTATGAATATTTTAAAAGAATTTTACAAATATTTTAACTTTAAAAATTTTTTTTAAAAATTTGTTTATTTAATTAGTTTTATAAATTTGTAGTTCACATCTGTAAGTGATTACTGTAGTTCTCTTTAACCGACCACCACTGTTTGTGTGTGCGAAAGACTTCCAAAAAATCGTTAGATATTCGCTTCTGGTTGTGGAAATGTCTTGAATGTTGCACGAACAATGGTTTTGTTTGTAATCCCGGTTTCGATTTCAGTGGCACGGCTTTTGTTTTTGTTTTTAGGCCTTGGTCAAGGGCACAGACGTCAATTACGAAAGCCAATGCCCTGTCACTCGATCCTCCGTCCCGCTCCCTCGCACAGGCGCCCCTCCCCCTCCCCCTCTCACCACAAATATTTGCGCCTCAATTAACCGCTATTTGTTGTAATGCAGATACAGTGGAGGTAAAAATACTAGTTAATTTGTAAGAATCAATGCAAAGAAAAGACTAAATATTACAATATTATTTTACAATGACTCAAGGCGATGAAAACGTTTTCCATTTAAAATATAAGTTTAATTTGTATAAACAAATAATATGAGTCAACTTTCCGCTGTTGAATGAACACTAATTTATTATTAAATTGCCTGTGACAAAAGCCATCTGTAGTGCTGGAGCATTTAAAAAGTTAAAAATTCACTGAAAACTTTTTAGCCTGGGAATTGGGATCTATTATTTCGGCCGCAGCTGTTGCATTTTCTTGAAACTTAAAAATTTATCTTATCGATAAGTGTGTGAAAGTCAGAGACTTTAGGTCTCTTAAGATAAACAATGGGTCATACGTGGGAATATTGTTTATTGGCGATGACTGTTGCTGCTCAAATGTATATATAAATACATATGCATTTATAGGGGACGATGTGGAATGTGCAAAGCGAAAAAAACAAAAACAAAACAAAACTGATTTGTTGCGCTCATTACACACACACACACACACGCGAATTGGGGGTGGATGTGCAATTGTGTGGGCGATTTAATGTTTAGTTTATTTGTTTATTTGCTGTGCCAAGCACAAAGAATTAAGGGAGAATTGCACAAAAAACAGAAAAAAACACAGAAAAAAACAAGTAAAAGTCCCGTTATGTGGGCGCTGATTGCCCCAGTGTGCGTGCGTGTGCGAGCGAGACAGCAATAGCCGAAGGCCACCGTTTCGCACCGCCCCGCCCCGCCCCCCAATCCTCACTTCTTTTACCGCCCCCTTTTCACGTTGTTTTTGTTGTTGCTTTTTTTATGAATGAAAGTCTCGCTTTTTTAAGCAATTTTTAAGTGTTACACACTCGCGCACACACACACACACGCACAGTCACAAGCACAGCTCTTTTGCGCACTCACTTTTTTTTGGCGTTAATTATCTTTCGGTTTTTTGTGCCAACTTTTACTTACTCCTGCGCCTGTGCCAAAAACCTAACTTAAATGATAGTGCATAAACAAACGGAACGGGAAAATAAATAAATTATCACGGCCAAAACACACACACGCGTCTCAAAAAGGAAACAACAAAAACAATTGGGCTGGAGATGGGAAAAATATCAACTATCGTCGATGCGATACTTTTTCCCAGCACTGAGCAATTGTCAGCGCCACTGGTTCCCCGTTCGGCCGTTTGGCGCTCTCAAATGTTATGTTCCGCGATTCTCTAACAGAAATGTTAAGATGCATCGTTTCTTTACATTGGCAGAGCAGCGGCAGAGGCGTAACAGTTGTATCTTAACATTGCTGTTAACGAAACGTCGGCGAAACATCGATTGCACAGCTTTCGGAGCTATCGATGAATCGCTAGAATGTTAACCAGCACTGTTTGTCAGCTGTTCGCGGACTATCGGTAATCGATAGGCGATAGGCAGGACAACATTGACAACACAATTTTCTGCAATTTTTTTGTTTTTTAAGGAGAAATTCCTTAATTTTAAAGTGAACAAGTGGCATTTTCGAGATGCCCAAGGTGCGCCGCAGTCGTAAGCCGCCGCCAGACGGCTGGGAGCTGATAGAACCCACTCTCGAGGAACTGGAGCAAAAAATGCGGGAGGGTAAGCGTGGCTTCTGTTTTTTCGGGGGAATAAAATATAAATTTAATGATATAACCCTTCCTTAAACAGCTGAAACCGAGCCCCACGAAGGCAAACGCATCACGGAATCACTGTGGCCCATTTTCAAGATCCACCACCAGAAGACGCGCTACATATACGATCTGTTCTATCGGCGAAAGGCCATCAGCCGGGAGTTGTACGACTATTGCCTCAAGGAGAAGATCGCCGATGGCAACCTGATTGCCAAGTGGAAGAAGTCCGGCTACGAGAACCTCTGCTGCCTGCGCTGCATCCAGACGAGGGACACCAATTTCGGGACGAACTGCATCTGCCGGGTGCCCAAATCCAAGCTGGAGGAGGGTCGCATCGTCGAGTGCGTCCACTGCGGTTGTCGCGGCTGTTCGGGCTAAGATCCTCTATAAATCCCCCTAAAATCATCCTAGCTCAGTAGGTTCCATTTTGGATTTCCCCCCTAGCATGTAAATACATTTTAATACCAGTCACACACAGAAAAATAAGAGGATTTTGTAACTGACCTAGAGTTCTCATAATTACTCACGAAAATCCAACAGATTCAGTACATAAATGGGTTAACAGGTGTGAAATTCATGTAAACGCATACAACATCTTTTTTTTTTATTAGAATTAATAGGAAAAATCGAACCTATGTACAAGTTGTAGTCTATTCCTGCTAATAAATTTTTGTATACTACGCAAAATCTTTAAAGTACAGAATCTATTTATTTGGGAACAAAGTTGAAGCTTTCCTTTAAATAGTAAAAATAAGCAATTGAAATTTATAGGTCCTTCTAGTGCTGCTATCTACTATACATAGATTTTAATTTAATGCCTTGGACAATTTATTGCTGCGCTGACATAATTCAAACTCAATGTCGTTTGGGGATGGATGTGGATGCGGCGGCGGCGTCTCCTTCATGTGCGTGTATTTATGGTCGCTCGCTCCTCGATTTGCATTGCCCTCGCTGTGGGTAATGTGACTATCTAGTATAATATAAAATGGGATCCTTTTATGTACCACATATGTTCAGAAAAATATTTTAAATATTTTAACCATTTTATTTTTTACAAATGTTCAATGTTCTTAACACTCGTTCGAAAGTTATAGCTCCTAAAAAAATGTTCCACCAAAAATCCTTGTCTAATTATAGGATGGCAACCCTACGTGCATGTTTGATCATGCAAAATAGTACTACAAAATGGTTTTAAAATTATATTTCAAATAGAGACTTCATTTAAATGTGCTAGGGTATTTCATAGATCGGACTTTTCCTAGCCTCCACTTTATTTCACTCTCCTCGAGCTGTGGAAAATTGTCAGGCTTCAAGTGATCCTGCGGGGTTTTGGGTTCGGGGTTCGGGGGGCAATAGTGGGGGCCGGTCAACTGGGATTTGGTCGAAAATGATTATAAATGGTTTTTTAATTATACTTGTCTGCATATTTTCTCATTTGCCAACCAAACGCAGCGCTGTCGATTTTATTGTTCACATGGAAAATGGCAAATGGATAATGGAAAATGGTAAAAATGGAAAATTATTGTCCGTCTGCCGCTGACAGCTTGCCCCCATCTGGCTGAAAGCGAGAGATTTCGAATTAAAACCGCTTTTGGCCACTAAAAATACTCGATTGTTTTGCCAATTACCCAGCGGAGTTATTTAAGCGATTTAGGCGCATAATTCAGCACAGAAAAAAAGTTTGATAGAGTTAAAAAATTCCTATTACATATTGAAATACCAATTTAACATTCTTAAATTTACTATTTTTAAATATAAAGTTAGTGAATACCATGGATGAAAAACATAGAAACAAACATTAAAAAGAAATCTTTTGATTTACTACAGTTTTTATTTCAGTGAAGTGCCACATACTTGAGGGAGGGTAATTGGCTACTTTATCTTAGAAAATGCATGTACATCTATAGTTTCTAGGTTAAATATTTTAGTAGTTAAATTTATTAATCAGTGTTTTGTGTTTAAAAATTAAAGGATGGATTTTTGCCTTACCGCGCAAGAAAAAGAACGTACCTTTATGCAGGTTCTATTCCTGCGCGGTAGGCAAAAATTCCATTCTTTAATTTCGAAACACAAGGTGTATAAATAAATTGATTTGATCAAGGAGCCTTATGGAGAAAGTGCCAGAACTGGTTGGGAATTATTGGGAACAGGCCAACAGATTGAAGTTGGAGCACAAAAATAGTCCTAGTAGGCACTAAACAGAAGTGTAAATAATATATTTTCTTATAATTATTCCCAATTACAAACATTTTCAAACAACAAATATATGAAAATAATTATTCCTCGACATGGGGATTTTGATTTCCTAAAATAGTTGGTTTAACCCGTTACACCTCCGCAGCAGGTCGCTGAACCGCTTTTTGTTTAGGGGTCTAAATGTTAAATGAATAAATCCCAAGTGCCTGGAACAAGCAGCTTCTTGTTTGTCACCCCGTCGAAATTAACCCCTTAAAAATGGCTACCTGATTGGTAAGCCCCGGCATCTTTGGGTTAAACCAGAGTGGGCAAATAACAAACTATTTGCAGGTAGAACGCCAGTCGATGGCCTCTTATCACCTAACGCCGTTGGATTATATATTTACTTGAGCAGGTTGATTTTTCCACAATACCCAAACCAATATTTGTTGACTTTTCCCGTTAAGATAAGACAAATCAGCGAGAGGGCGGTGATAAAAGTGCAGCCCTGCTTGACCCCCGGGGATAATTGTGGATTTCACAGCCCAAAATGAAGTATATTTACATTTCTTGGTGGGATTTTCACGAAAATCGTTTAGTTGTTCGTGAATAATTATTTTCATATATTTGTTGTTTAAAAATGTTTGTAATTGGGAATAATTATAAGAAAATATATTATTTATTTAAAGCAACCGAGTAATTACACTTCTGTTTAGTGCCTACTAGGACTATTTTTGTGTTCCAACCAGGGAACGAAAATAACTGTTATTGTAAATTTTTCATACAAAAAAATCACGCACTTAGAAGGGTCCTAAAAATTTTTTAAATACACCACAATTTTTATTAGCCATTGTAGTTTACAAATCCGTAATGATTTTTATTTTTGGATTTTTATAATAAAACTCATAAAATAACTGTTATTTTTTGATTTTTATGAATAACAGTTATTCCCTTGACATTTTTGAAAAAATGAAATAATTAAAAAAAACATAATACCCGTGCTTTTTATAACTTACTAAAAATTTGTTAAAAAAGGCAACCGCGCATATTTTATACCTATATTTTTTTAAAATTTTGTTTACCCACAAAATCGCCATAAATCAAGTTTGAGTTTTATTTTGATCACGACGAATAACTGTTATTTGTCAACTTTTATTATAAAACTCAAAAAATAACAGTTATTCTTTGAGTTTTACTTTACAAATCAGAAAATAACTGTTAAAGTGTGATTTTTAAAATAAAACTTATAACAGTTACGTTCCCTGGTTCCAACCTCAATCTGTTGGCCTGTTCCCAAAAATTCCCAACCAGTTCTGACACATTCTCTATAAGGCTCCTTGATTAATCAATTTATTTATACACCTTGTGTTTCGAAATTAAAAAATGGAATTTTTGCCACCCGCGCAGGAATAGAGCCTACATAAAGGTGTACGTTCCTTAACTGCGCGGTGGCAAAAATCCATTCTTTAAGTTTAAAACACAAAACAAAGATTAATAAATTTAACTACTAAAATAATTAACTTAGAAACTATAGATGTACATATATTTTCTAAAATGAAGTCGAAGGTCGAATTAAATCGAAAGATTTCATATAAATATATTAGTCACTATGTTTTTCATCCATTGCGGAATTTATTAACTTTATATATAAAAATAGCAAATTTAAGAACTATTCAAAATTACAATACATTTACAAATTTAGCAAGGCCACTTTGTAACACAGTTATATAATACATGGTATTAATTTTTATAAGCAAATCGTAAAACCAATAGAAAAAATGGTAGCCCAATAATTTTTGGATCATATTTTCTTTTAAATATTTAAATTTATCAATCAGTGTTTTGTGTTTCCAAAACTAAAGAGAGAAATCGGTTTCCGTAGCCCTGAAAAAGAACGTACACCTCTATGCACAACCTTTTTCTAAACTAAGGAAGGGGATTTATTTCTTTTGTATTATAAAACACAAATGGGGTATTTAGTTAAGGAACTAACTGGAGCCTAATGTAGCCCGTGTCAGAACTAATTGGGAATTATTGGGTCCTGTGGGACGGGACTTGTGTTAGAACCACATTCATAGGCAAAAAGTAGGCTAAGGAATTTGAGAGAAATTCAAGTTTGAAACCCTCAAAAGTTTAATTTCTTTCTTGAAATACGTTTAAAATGATCTTCTCAGCTAATTCAAATTTTAAAGTAGGCAAAAACTAACAACTCTGGGTTTCGAGGGTACCTAAATATTAGGGTACTTTACCTATTGAACTGGGGAGAAACCGAAAATAACCGCGAATATTGTTAAGTGAATCATTTTGGTCACACTTGTTGTTTGTTCGCCTAATCTTTGTCCCATAATCAGGTAGTTAAATGATTATATTTCCCCACTAATCCCTTTGTTTACATGCGATTCGTCGGCCAATCCGGGAACAGGTAGGCGGTGCTCCGGAAAATGGACACAAACAAGATCATAAAACCCAGCGACCATTCATGAAGGTAGTAGATCCGAATAACCCAATAATAATGGCAGCTACCTGCAGGATGGTATAAAATGAGGCTGCCGAAGTGCTGTGGCATCATTAGCATTCGAAAGTTCAACGAGAGCACATCATATACCATATACCAATAACCATGGAACGAGGCCATCTTTATTTGCCCCCTCTGAGCTACGCCCTGCCCATGGGTCAGGTATACGCCCCGTATCATGGGAGCAGCTCATCCACATCATCGAAGCCGGAACAGATCGAGGAGCTGGTGAACCAGCAGCTGCACCACCTGAAGATGCACTACGCCGACGAGGAGCAGCGCTACGTGGACCAGATGCTGCTCGAGAATCCCATTGTTGTGGAGCGCCGGGCACCGCTGGCTCTGAAAACCGAGATTCCTGTTCTGGATTCCCGGGGAACTGGTTCGGGTTCCGGTTCAGGATCCGATATGAAGGATGCCCAACGGCAGCGGGCAGAGTCGTGCCGAAAGTCGCGGTACAACAACAAGATCAAGAAGGCAAAGCTGCGCTTTCGGCACAAATTCGTCAGCGGTCAGCTGAAGAAGAGCGCCGTTATGTTGGACACGATGCGTGACGTCATTGCGCAGGCGGAGCGGCAGCTGATCGAACGGGGCTTCCCCGCCGCCGCCCTCGAGCGCATGCGCAGCACCTTCGGCCTGGAAATGGAGCAGTGATATATGGTATATCATATCATATATATACTTGGAGTACCCGGGGCCTAGGAACGAACCGATGATCCCTGACTAGTCCAGCATTAGCCACACCAACCTTCTTTTTTTTTCTTGTTGACTATATCTAGTGTATTACTCTAAGCATATTATTAAATTTTTAAATAAAGTTAAGAAATATAAAATATTATACTGAAATATTTGAGTTTTTATTTAAATTTGAAGATGGAACTTAAAAAATATCAAACCATTTCCAGGTTTTAAATAGAATTGGGTTAACTAAAAAGAATAAATGAGAATATTTTAGTGCAATGCTTCAAACTATCAAAATCGTAAATCCCAAGCAATATTACTTTTGAAAGCATATTATTAAATTTTAAAATATAGTTAAGAAATGTTAAGGAATTGCTTGAGTTATTATTTCATTTTGAACCTTGCAGAAAATTTTATCTAATTGGTTATGGAACCTACAATTATATAGCTTAATTTTGGCTATAATTTCAACAATCAAACAGTTTCCAGATTTAAAATACAGTTATTAATTAAATAATTTATATAAATATTTCAGTGTAACACTATTATTATTTATAAAGTATTTAAACTTAATATAATATTAAATGCTAAGATCATCATATAATTTCATTACATTTCATTTTTCAAGAACCCTTTATAGCTGGTTAGCTTTACAAGAATTTCGTAAATTTTGAAGGCCACTTTGAAAACATTTATTCTGCATTTAACGCTTGGGCAGTCGTCGGGGACTCAGATTTGGATTTCCTTGCCTGGCCGAAGGTAATCCCATCGAAATTGGGCCAATGCAATGCCAATGCACCATTTCGACTTGGTTAAGTTCAGTTCATTTGATCCGACATGATTGCACTTGCACTTTGCTTGCCCCGCTTTACGTTTGCGTTATTTTCCTTTCTTTTTGGCTTGCGAACAATTTGCGTTGCCAAAAGCAGCAAATGCAATGGAACTAATGGCCTTAAGAGGGTGTGTAGAGGAGATTGTGGCTAAATGCCATAAAAAACGGGGTATTTCTGGATGGTAAGTTAATTTGGGAACCCATCAACTTAATAATATTATTTCTTTACAATAAAAAGGTGTAAGAATAACAATTTTTTTATGAAATAATATATTTATAATAATATATAAACTTTTATATATATCTCAAAAAGGCATCTCCTATTCGTTGCTAATACTTTTTAATAGTAGAACATCGCAGAAGGAATGCGGGAAGCAAATAAAACGAATGTTAAAACGAAAGTATAAAACGCATTTCGCCACAATGGCCAATCGAATTTCAAGCTGATGCTCGCTCAAAAATTTCATTTTCACGTGCCAGGTTACAAATGATTTCATCGCCTCTTCGCTGCAGTTTCCTCGGGATTTTCCCCGCATTTTCCAACTTTTCTGCAGTTCCTTACCTACGCACGTCTCACTCTTATTCGCTCACTCACTCACTCACTTACTCAAGTGCACACAATGGCCTCAACGTCATCAGTGCTGGGGAAAGGTACTTATTTCGTACAAATTCAGCAAAATAATGGGGATCTTATAAAAAATATTATTTATATAATAAAAAATATGTTACCTATATAATCTTACAGTCAAAAATAAGTGCATCTAACATTCAAAGTCATTTATAAAATAGGAAAAATATGGGAAAGGTACTTCTTTTGTACCTTACTGCGCAAAATAATACAAATATTATAAAAAATAAATTACTCATATTTTTAATAACTAAAATAAGTACAACTGAAGTTCAAAGTAAATAAAAATTTAAAAAATATATCATTAATTATATCCTTTATAACTATTTTCTTTAATTCTCAATTATTTCTAACTATAATTTAAGCTCTCGTAATTAAAAAATAATTTATTTATTCTTATTAGAATAATTGAAAATAAACTTGTTTAAAGATTTAGTATATTAAGTACCATCACTGTTCGTCATAATAATAAATGAGTGAAACGTTGCACCCACTTGCACCTCTCTCTTTCTCTCGCCGCCTTGCTCTCTCTTTCACTCCTGAGGCGGAAAGTGTCGGAAAGGAACTTCAATTTGATTTTATCGCTCGGCCATAAAAGCTCAGCTCGTTTGTGTTGAATGCAGCAGTACGCGGTCCAAGAATTTCACAAATGATGAGGAAATCGGGAAGGGGATGGAAATGGAGATGACGGCTAGGAGATGATGGCGAAAATGGGGAGCTGCAGCGGACAGTATTACCAACAATAGATGTCGGCCAAAAAAAGATCGGCATTTCGACCATAAGACCGCTTAATTGCGCTTCCATGTTTTTTTTTGTATTTGTAAGTATTTTTAAATGCTACAATAAATTACAGTAACCTTATTTTTTTAGTGTTTTAAAATACTTGTATTTTTTTATCAGTACAAAACCGTTAATTATAATTAATATAAAATATTTATATTTATTTTTAAATATAATAGTAATATCAATTTGACATTTTGTAATTTCTCTTTCACATCACATGCTACTTGTTATTGTCAAAAGGATATAAAAAATTAAATTAAAAATATTGTAGTATCAAATTAATATTCATTTTATTTTTACAGTTCTTGGCAGAAGGAAACATGAAACACTGAAATCCTGGCAAATCAAAGAGCTATCCCATCCTATTCCTGACCCCCCATGAATCGCCACATTTAACGGGATATAAGCAGTGGCGGCAGCAGCACTGAACACGGGTCCTCAAGAGCCGGAACGTGAGATGGAGTCCTTAGCGAGGACTTGCCCATTGTCTGGTCGACGCACCTGGCACAAAGACGATAAAAACTCGCATTGTCAATGGGGTTCGTCGCTGGCGGGCGGAGCGGTATCAAAACATCCGCCTTTGGGGCATCCCAACCCCAAACCATCTCCCTCCTTCATTCACTGCACGTTCCTAATGCGATGAATTGCTTTTTCAATTTTCCAATTTATTTTTCATTTTCAAAACTACACAAGGCGAAGTTTATTGATGGTTTTTGTTGCTGCACTCGGCAGCGGTTATCGGACAGCGGGCACTCGGTGTCCGTATCCTATACCTACTATATATACACGGGTAGTAGGAATATAAATATATATATGGCGGAATTCAGGTCCCCGGGAATGGGGAAAAGGAAACGGTAAGCTGAACCCAAAACTTTTTTAGCGGGCAGAGAATAGAAAAGGAGCACAGTGGTTACAAGGGGAAATTATATAACATATATATAGTTAAAGTCTCGAGAATATTATCTTTAATTTGTAGAACCTATTTTTAAAATTGTAGTATATATTTAGTATATTTATTGTATATATTATCAAATATTATTTTAAATATTATTAAAAAGAAAAGTATTACAAAAAATAAGAACAATAAAAAATAGTATTTCTAATTTGTATAAAGATTTTTAAAAATTAATACCACTGTGTTGCCGTCGCGACGCTGAGCTTGACCAGCGGAAAATCTCGTTGGGGGAAAATCGTCATCGAGTTTCCCTCGGCCTTTCCTTGGATTTCCGCGTTCAGTCGAGTCTATTTGATTTGACAATGAATGAAAAAGCACAACAATGGGAATAGAGCACACAATGGTGCCTCTGTGCGAAATGAAAGTTTCAAAAGGGTGAAAAAGTGTTCGAATGGCCTGCAACAACGAAGATTGGCTCTAATTTGCTTTTAAAAAATGCACAAAAATATTAAACCATTTAAAAGGAATGCAATAAATAATTTAAATAATATTGGCGCAAGATAAATGCTAATTTGAGCTGTTTGATTCTAAGAAGATAATCTATAGTTTCCAAATGACTTGGTAAATACTGGCACTGCTGTCATTGAAGAACTTACAAGATCCTAAATGGTTTCTTTGGGAAAGGGCCCCCTGGTAGCCAGTCCAAATTGCAGGGCATAATAATTATGTTTGCTTTGGAGCTGGACGAACCAAACGTCTGACATAACGAGACTCTAATTGTGCGCGAGCAAACAAACAAAATTGCAGGTGTCAAAACAGAAATTGGCTGGGTAAGTTTCTGATACACTGATAAAAATATGTGCATATTAAATATTCCTATTACATATTTAAATTGCATGATTTAATTTGAATACCTTTCAATAAAGGTAGAAAATAAAATATTATACTTCACTAAAAAAAGAATTGCATTTTAAAATCAAAGTTTTTAAGTTTAATATTTTCATCTTTAAAATATTAAAAGCCTGAATGACTGCAAACATAGTGAAAAATATTAAAATTAAATATGATATCTATCTATATATTTGGATCTACGTTTTTTTTTTATCAGTGTAGGATAAGGGATGTGGGATATGGGATAGAAAATAGAACCAAGCAACTTTCCAAGTCATTTCTACTAACAAAATCCGAACGAATGGCGGTGTTGGGTTCGCTTCTCCAGCTTTTCCTGGTTTACATCCTGGGATCTGAATCGGAATCCCTGAACTTGAACACGGGGATAGATGGACTACTCGGGGAGGCCACCAGGGACTTGCCCCAACTGGAAATTTGGCTGCGGGCGAGTGGAAGGCATGATGATGTGGCGAATCCGTATGTCCAGTGGTTTGTGCATGAATCAAAAATGCCCGTGAGCATTTTCACATACGAGGAGGAGGATTTTCTGGCCCCCGATCCTTTTGGCCGGAAAAATGTGGCTTTGGTGATGAGTTTAAGCCAACTAATATCGAATCGCGGAGCAGCGGCACCCGTCCAGAAAGCCGGTGTTTTCTTCTATATCCTCGCCGATCAAAGGGAGGATTTAACGGACGAAGAGCAACTGCGTTTGGAGGATAGCTGCCGACAGCTGTGGATGCTGCACAAAGTCTACAATCGCTTTTTCCTAACCGCAAATGAGACAATTTGGATCTATGATCCCTTCAAACGTCGCGATTCGGCCTTTGGGCGATTGGTGCGATATTTCGGCTCCGAGCCGCTGGAAAAACTGCTCTTCCGCGACATGGAGGGCTATCCGCTGAGGATTCAGATGTTCAAATCAGTGTACACACGGCCCGAGATCGACAAGGATACGGGTATGCTGACCAGCGTCACTGGCGTCGACTTTCTGGTGGCCCAAATGCTCAGGGAGCGACTGAATTTCACTATGCTGCTGCAGCAGCCGGAGAAAAATTACTTTGGGTATATATAAATATTAGATTTGGTATTTAACAATATTACATTTATAGTTTTTATGAAATAATTATTTATAAAATAATATTATAAATCTTTTTATTCTTATAATATAAGTGGGAATGTATCAATATCTCAGATGAATTTTATCTCTCTCCTAAAGAAGATATTTTAAATGAAACTTTCATTTCCATGCAAAAAATACAGAATTTGGTATTTTCTAAAAAAGTGTATTTATAATTTTGATTGTATAACTGATATGATAAAATATCAAATTGACATGCTTGAATTATAATTATTACTTTGAAATAAGGTAGAACTTACCCCTATATAATATTAATTATGTTTTCTGCCTAAAGACGAAATCTTAAATATTTTCTAAATTTCTTTGCCATCAGCGAACGCTATGCTAATGGCAGCTACAACGGGGCCATTGGATCGATCATCAACGACGGCCTGGACATTTGCCTGACGGGGTTCTTCGTGAAGGACTATCTGGTGCAGCAGTACATGGACTTCACAGTGGCGGTCTACGACGATGAGCTGTGCATCTATGTTCCAAAGGCTTCGAGGATTCCCCAATCGATCCTGCCCATTTTCGCGGTGGGCTACGATATTTGGCTGGGCTTCATTTTGAGCGCCTTTGCGTGTGCCCTCATTTGGCTAACTCTGCGGGTGATTAACCTGAAGTTAAGGATTGTTAAATGGAATGCTGATATAGTGAATCAGGCTCTGGGCATTGTGGTGGATACGTGGGTGGTCTGGGTGCGCCTGAACCTAAGTCACCTGCCTTCGAGCTACGCGGAGCGAATGTTTATCGGCACTCTGTGCCTGGTGAGTGTGATTTTCGGGGCCATTTTCGAGTCCAGCCTGGCTACCGTCTACATCCATCCGCTGTACTACAAGGATATAAATACAATGCAGGAGCTCGATGACAGCGGATTGAAGGTGGTGTACAAATACTCCTCGATGGCGGATGATCTGTTCTTTAGCGAAACCTCACCGCTGTTCGCGAGTCTCAATAGTAAGCTCACCTGGAATCGAGATTTGCGCGCCGATGTCATCGATGAGGTGGCCAAACAGAGGAACAAAGCCGGGGTTTCGAGATACACCTCCTTGGTCCTGGAGTCCTCGCGATTCACGCTGCTTCGCCAGATTTGGGTGGTGCCCGAGTGCCCCAAATACTATACCATTTCGTATGTGATGCCACGCGATTCTCCGTGGGAGGATGCCGTGAATGCGCTGCTCTTGAGATTCCTCAGTGCCGGCCTCATTGTCAAGTGGATAAAGGACGAGAAGTCGCGGGTGGACATCAGGATGCGACTGAGCATCCTCGAGGCGAATGCCGAATCCGAACTGGTGCGCGTCCTGACCATCGGAGATCTGCAGCTGGCCTTCTATGTGGTCATCGGGGGCAATTTGTTGGCCCTCCTCGGCTTCTTTGTCGAGCACTTTTGGAGGAAATTACCAAGGAACGGACGTAAATAAATAACAAAATATTTAACAAGAATATTTAAACAAATAAACTAATCTTCGGAGGGATATGAAAATATTTTCCATATTTATTATTTCAAATTTTACATACATATACTGTTAAATTAATAGCAGGATATTTCGGCTTTAATCATAAAATATTAAAATTTAATAAAGTTTATATATCATTTGTAGTTTATTTTAATACACAAATGGAAAATAATAATAAAATAAAATCTGGATTTATAGATAATTTTGTTATCTGTTCAAAACAGTATGTATTTTTGGTGTAAAAAAAAAACCAAAATTTCCAAAAAAAACGGGTTTTTTCGCTAAAACAAAGCAAATACTGATTCAAAGTATGGATTGTCATACCTTTCTGAACTTGTTATTAAATTTCCTAACGATTGGCATTTAAACCTTGACAGTTTATTTATTTTTAATTTTTCGCAAAAAATCATGGGGTACCCCCTTATAAAAAAATTAAAAATTAGCGAAAATTTTATTTTTCCAAAATCACACGGAAAGTGTTCTGGATTTATAGATAATTTTGTTATCTGTTCAAAACAGTATGTATTTTTGGTGTAGGACCATTTTTGGCCACGTTACAGCAAAAAAACCAAAAGAAAAAATCCAATTTTTGTCAAAAACTGAAATCCCGAATTTCCAAAAAAACAAAACGGGTTTTTCGCTAAAACAAAGCCAATACTGATTCAAAGTATGGATTGTCATACCTTTCTGAACTCGTTATTAAATTTCCTAACGATTGGCATTTAAACCTTGACATTTTATTTATTTTTAATTTTTCGCAAAAAATCATGGGGTACCCCCTCATAAAAAAATTAAAAATTAGCGAAAATCACACGGAAAAATAAAATACTCCCCCCTTATAAAAAAATTAAAAATTAGCGAAAATCACACGGAAAAATAAAATACTCCTAAATCTAAATAATACAATTTACTAAAGCTTATATGTTATTTTGGTATTTATATATGACAGCCCAAAAAGACAAGCCAAATCAAACGAAACTAAAAACATTTACAATTTCGCACATACACTTTTTTTCGTCATATATTTTTGTTCCATTTTGCAATGCGAAAATTCAGCGAAAATTTCATTTTTGCCTGCATCGTTTGCTAATTTTATTTTCGAAAGGCCAGCGGCAAAATTGAGGCACACACACGCTGAAAACAGCTGATATAATTTGGCCAAGTTAACTATGATACGCTCCAGCGGCGATGGCAATTTTGGCCGAGACCAGTCACCGGTCAAATCGAATTGTCAGCCACCAAAATGCAATTGGCGGTTCAAGGATGTCATTTCGATTGCAAATCGCCGGGCTCAACTGGCTGGTAAAAATATTAAATGTAAATAAGTACAAAATTAAATAAAAATAGGTATTTTTTTGAAAATAAATATATTTGGAATTTATTTACAAAAAAAACTACCTAAATCTTAAAAAAGAATGTTTTGCAAATTTAGTTATTTAATTGACATTTAATAATAGTAATGTAAATGTCTTAGGCCCCCTTTATATATATTACAATATGGTCAAAGGGGCCTTAGACCATATTTCAATATTTATTATTTTAAACTGATTAACCCACTGTGCCCATCCCCATCGCAAACACTTCATGCACGTCAATCGGTAGCTTGCGTAAATTTGTGTTTATTCGGCATTTCGGTTTCTGCACACGAAATGACAATTAAACAGCCGCAAAGCGAGTGACAACAACGATTACAACAACACGTCAGTCAGTGGAGCAGTTTATTTAAATATTCAAATCCGCATGGAGAAGGGCGGAATTCGGAATACGGAATTTGGATGCTGGATGCTGGATGCTGTAGCATTGGATTCGGCGGTAGCCATACGACAGACACATGAAATATGCGCGAGCTCAAGTCATCTTATCGTGACAGAAACAGAAACAGAAACAGCAGCATTTACAACAATTTACAAAAATATCCCCGGCAAAAAGGCAGCGAGGACACAAAAGCTGCAGGAAATGGCAAATGCCCCATTGACAAAATGGCAATTTTAACCCTTTATGTGTTTAGTAATAATATTAAACATCCTTATTTCTAAAAACATTTTTTAACCATATTTAAAAAGTATTTAACACAATTTGTATCAGTATCATAAATTAAAAATATACATAATTTAACCAGTAATATATTATTTATACCAAAAATATTATAATCAACAGATTTACACAGTACTTACTTTTTTAGAAGCTCTTTATTTAATTAGTACGGGAATTTTTTAATTTCTAATTTTATTTATTAATTTGTATTATCTGCAAGATGCATTGATTAGATTTATTAGTAATATAATTATAACTACTATAATTTTAAGGCCTTTTGCTTATCAAAACATAATGATTAAATAAATGTTAGGGTTAACCTCTACAATGTAATCTTTACCATAGACAAATAAGTCGAGTGTGCCGAAAATGTCTCCCTTTCTTTCCTCGAGCTATTCCTTTGTGTGGAAATGCAAGAGTAAGAAGGAGAAGAAGAAAAAGCAGGGAAGTGACAAGGAGGGCGGACAAGTTGACACATTCCTCCCAAAAAATATTGCGAACGCAATTTTGAGTGCCATTTCCATTCTCCACTCTCCTCCATTCAATGATCTAATGATGCTCAGATGTCCTGCAAATTTTCCCTTAATTCCCATTTCTCTTTTCGCTTTTTTCCCGTTCTCTCACCTTCTGTCACCTTCTTCTTAGGGGCCCCTCATTGCCAGTTGACAGGCCATCGTCGCTTCGTTTCACTTTCTCCCGCACTTTCCTTACGATTTTTTGCACCTTTGGGAACAGTGTTGTCCAAAAAAATCAGAAAATAATTCACATTTACAAAAAATAAGTAAACTAATATTTTTTTCAATTAATAATATTATTAGGAAATACAGTAAGTAAAATAATGTTTTCTATTTTAATTAATAAATAAAATTAATCCGAGTAAATACAATTTTAAAAGTAATATTAAAAATATATATTTTTAATTTTTAAATAATAATATCTTACTGATCCAAATAGAATATTATTTTAATTCAAATCAAAATTTTCTTTGGCGCACATGTCGTATGCGTAATATGTGATGCCCAAAGAAATCAAAGCTGCTTTCGCATCACTTTTGGAAAGTAAATAATTTGATGAGTCCCAATACAGAAGAGAGAGACGGGGCGACGAAAAAGAAAGAGAAGGAGAGACGGACTAAGCAGGACATTTCCAGAGACACGTGACGAGCATGCTAATGAAGTACCAGGGGCCAGTTGCCCCGATTTAAATATCAACATTTTCCCCGGCGAAGAAAACTCGAGTTTGATGATCTTGTTAATGGGAAATTGAAAAGCACGTAGTTTTTCCCGCTCGGTAGTTTCGCTTAGTGGTCATTTATGGTTAATTAATGACTTTGATTGGCTTTCGGCCTTTGTGTCCAGATGTTTTATATATTTCCATAAATGTTTTTCAACAGAAAGCGGCAATATTTACGACCAAATGCGAAAACCAGAGACCATCAATTTTTATTACCAAAAAGAACCAAAAAAAAGAAGACGAATTCCAGGGAATTTTCTTTGCACTTTCGGTCCACTTTTTGCGAACAGTCTTAAGTCCGTAAGATGGATTTTTCGACCTATTAAAAAGTCACCTTTTTTTGGTGTGTCTAAAGAGTGTCTAAAAAGAAAGACAATTTTAAAGCTTGGTTGCATATTTTGTATGTTTAAATAAAGAATATCTTGTTTAAGGCTAAAAATTATATGCAGTCTTTAATTAATAGATTAAATAGATTACCACTAAAAATTATTTTTAATTAACAGAATAAATTAAGACCAACCAAAAATGATTTAAAATAAGTGTTAAAGAACCATTTTTTTTAACTAAGGAAATTTCACTGTAGAACTTTCTCCGTTTTTTGTTTGCTTTGCCTTTTCTCGAAAAATGCATCTTGGTGGAAATTGAGTAATGTTGGATTCCAGAGAGAGCGGCCACCCAGGAAAATTGGAGTATTCGCCACTGCTGCTTCTTCTTTCACTCAAAAATTGTTCAAATTCCAGCTAAAAATAAACCAACAGAATTTTAGACCATAAGGAAACGCAATGAAAACTAGGTATGAAAAAAAAGAATTTGAATAAAGCCAAGGCACGCGCGCGCTCATTGAGAAACATCAAAATTTTTGGTTTATTTCCAACTCATAACTTTTGTTTATCTTTTGCTGCTTTTTTGGATTTGCTGCCGCCGCTTCTTCTTAATATGTTTCTTACTTTTCTCTCTCTGACGGCCCTGCATTTTGTTTTTGTCCGCTGCCGCGTTCGGTCCAAAAAAAAACAGGAAAAAATCTCGGGAAAACTGGAAAATCGGCCAAATGAATCAGTGTGTCCCTTGATTTGCCGGTTAAGTGATACTAGTTTAAATCTTCATTTTATCTCCCAAACTTTGCGTGCAGTAAATTGATTAGAATAGATACTTACATGCACCAAAAAAAAAAAACAAAGAATAAAAACAAAGCATCGGTGGTATAAAGAGTACTATTTTCTATTGTTTTTCCTTTGTGATTTGCGTTGTGTGTGTGTAAAATATATAAAAAGTATATTGTAAACCTTAAAAGAGTCATTAATTTTGAACGAATACAATCATATTTTTTGTTATTGTTTTTTGCGGTGAGTAGCGTTTTTTTCTTTGGCTTTTTGTCTATTTTATTTGTTTTGTGTTTTTATACAAAACGAACGTTTTTATTACTCCTGATAGTGAAAAATTATGGTAATTTATTTTGCCTGCATTTCGCAAAGGTTTGCAAAGTAGTCGCTCGACTATTTGATACCCAAATGCAGCTAAAAGAATATATTTGTTAAAATGTTTTTTATAGTTTTTGTTGAACATTTTAATCATTCCACTTTTAATATATGTTTTAGCTTTTTACTAAATTTTTTATTTTTGGTAAAATAATGTTTTCTAAAAATATTGTTAAGTTTTTCAATTAAATATAATAAATACAAAATATTAATAAATGATAT